AAACCGAAACCGGTCGTAACAAATAATAAACTCAGTAGAAATTAGACAAAAGTTATTTTCTTTATTCTATATTCAATATGAATTGTCTACAACACGAATAGGTCATCAATTGAACAAAATATCTGCTAAAAAAAATATGAAAGTAAAGAATGTAGGTCAATTGAAAGTATAATTATAAAATAAATAAACCAAGGATTTTCTGAGGTCTTTCACAAGTTAAAGACCCTCATTTAGACCAGTGCTAGTATAGCTGTTATTGAGCAATATGGCTCTGATTGAATAAGTTTTTCAAACGAGCACTTACCTAAGGGTTCCTTGATATGTCCAACCCTTCCCATTTTTGTCCTGAGTGTACAAGGTTTGAAATATACAATATCCTCACGATTGAAAAACATAAACCTTATGACAGCAGACCTTTTATGAATTTTCAATGGATGTCCTACAAAAAAAAAATGAAATCATACAAAATTCCAATTCCAATTTATGATAAGTTACCTGATAATACTAATCGTTTGATGACCAGCCTATCTGGGTTACATGACAGGAGACTTCCAGTAGCTACCAGAACAAGCTTGTTGTTTATTTCTTTATAGCACAAAACTGGTGCCGGTGGAAATTGTATTGGGGCATAGAACGTTGCCACCACAGTTGACTGGGGTTGAAAAAACCTTTCGAACTGAAAGAATTAATTTATTAGTTGTTTTATAATTCCCTCCTAAATCCAGGTATATCAATGAAAGAGACAGTATTGCGGAGTAAATAAAAAATTTAGAGATAAAAAATTGGAAATAAAAAATAGGATTCAGTTAGTTCAAAACTGAATTGTTTTTCTCTCTGATGATTCAGAAAACAATGATTTTATAACCTAAATTTCATTCGTATGGACAATAATTTTAGGATTATTGAAGAATAAATAATAAATACAAGACCTTCCCATCTCTGAAATGATCCCTATTGACTGCCTATCGGTAATCGGCTCCTCTTCAGACGGTTATCATTTGTAAAGGAACGACAGCCGGATGACAGCATTTAGTAATTGATATGGTTTTTGTGGGTTTTTCATGAATTATTGAAAACATACTTGGAATAGAATTTAATAAGTGAAATTTCAAATAAAGAATATTTGACTGTGATGTGTCCCAAGGTTATGTATTTGGGTCAATTCTAATAGATATTCATTTTTTTACTTCATTCTTTTACATAGTTATCACAAGTATCTAAAACAGAAACTAAAAATTAAGATTTCAAAATAATCAATGATTCCCAACAGTTAATTTGCAGATACTCGAAATAAGAACTGAATGTTGGATTCAATGTGAGAATAAAATGAGATGACTGTTAAATATAGGATCAATAAACATTCAGGTTGTAATGTCTGCATTATCTATATGATCACTATCAGAGAAATTACTGAGGATGGCGGCATATCATCTAGCTGATGCGATGCAATTTTTTCATAAATTTTAGGCATGCAGCATGTGGCAGCGAGGTTTGTTCCAAGATTGTTGAATTTTGACAAAAAAAAGTCTCATGAGTATTGCTCGAGAATTATTGAATGACGTTAACGGCGATCCAGATTTGCTTAGAAGTATCATAACTGGGAACGAATCATAGGTACAACTTATGCAGTCGGTTTTTGTCTTGCAGAAAAGGGCTATCAGGTACTTACGTAAAGCGAAATGGCGGGATTTATGTAAACCACTTTTTTGAGAACATAGAATCCTTACGGTTATTTCAATATTTATATTGGAAATGGTGTCAATTATACATGAAAATAGGAAGAACTATGAATCTACAGCTACAGCCACATACCACACGAGGCGGTCAAATGAACTGAGTCTACCAATTCCAAAAACATGTTTGATTCAAAACTCGTTGACATATAATGGAATCAGGATATACAATAAACTTCCCAATGAAATCAAAGAGACTCCTTTCATCATATTTAGAAAGAAATGTACAAAACTAGTATTTTGACGATGCCCTGTAATTTAGAATGTGATGAAACTGCGATTATACTGTGTGTGAAACATATATTTTTATTTGCTGTCCTAGTTCTTGTCATGTAACATCTGCATATGCATGTATATATAGTTTATATTTTATTTTAATCATTTATATTTTATACACTTATACTTCATGTTTAATACCTACTCATGTTTACATTAATATTTATTTATAACATTGTGTTTGTAACAAGAATTTATTCTCAAACAATAAACAAACATATTATTATATTATCATGGTAATGACATCGATATTAAATGTCAGGGTTTCCTTCGATTACCACTAGTGCATCAGGAATTTTTGCCACATGGTCATACAGTCAATAAGAAGTATTATGTTGAAGTTATGTGCCGCTTGTGAGAAGCAATACAAAGAAAACGCCAGGTATTTTCAAAACATAATTCATGAGTCTTGGCTTGTCATTGCTTGTTTGTAATTTTTTTGGCCAAAAACAACACTAATCATACCTCAGCCACTGTATTCACCAGATTTGGCCCCAGCGACTTTTTTCTGGTCCCAAGATTGGAGAGACCCATGAAAGAACGGCGTTTTGCGATAATTGAAGAAATAAAACCAAATAAAACCAGATTAGAGGTTTGAAATTGACATGTGTGTATGTGCTCCGTGTATTTCGAGGTTAACTGGTGCCTTAAGATTGCCAGAAATTGCGATTTTTGCATAGAGCCTTCTCTCAGTGCTCTCACATTCATTCATTGACTATCTCAGTGGGGACCCATCTTATAAAAGAGCAATTTGTAACCTAAAGTGCATCTGAACAATCTACAAGTTCAACGATAAATTATAATAAGTTATCAGTTATTGAAAAACTTCTAGGACTTTTTGCTTCAGATAAACTCATTAACATGGGTACCTGCAAAGTTTGTAAACATGACCTGGCTGAGGACGAATCTACTTTTGAGTGTGACTCATGCAAAAAACCGATTCATGCCACAGTGGAGTGCTCAGGTCTTACTGCATCAGAGTTGAGATATATGGTACTCAAGAAAAGAATGCCGAAATTCTTTTGTAAAGAATGCAACACAGGATTCTCTCAGATCTCCAAAGTAATACAGGAAGTCCAACAATTAAAGACTGAACTTGAAGCTCTCAAAACGACAATCTCAACTACGATACCATCTACAACTTCAGATCAACCAATAAATCATTTATCGTTTGAAGAAATTGTTGAGGAAGTGAATGAGAGAAATAAGCGGAAGAATAATTTAATTATATTCGGTTTGAATGAACAGGATCAAAGCCAACCACCAGATGCTCGGAAAAACTCCGATACACTAGCAGCAAGAAATGTAATTCAAGCTATTCAACCGGATGTCCAATTCCAGTGCATAGATATCATCAGACTGGGTCGTTTTGCTAATGGTAGAAACCGTCCACTCAGGGTCATCTTGAAAAACGAATCTGATCTTCATCAAATAACACAACACAACAAAGTTTTTGTTTCGGGGTTGAAATTAGATGATTTTAATGTATTTCCACTGTTAAAACCGAAAGTGACCATAAAAATTATATATTAGCTCTTGTTTTCAAGATATAGTATCACTATATTATATATATGTATATTGAGTTTTCAACAAATGAAATATTTCATCACCAACAGTTGGTACACATGTTTGTTTACATAACACCCCTCTCATCAGCTGTTCTTAAGTAGTAAACATAACCTATGTGAAAATTTTTGAAATTCTTGTACTTCAAAAACACTGGAATTTATCCAGCTAGGGGTTCGGACTACTATAGTCTTCTCAATCACTTTCAATTAATTTCTTTAGAAAAAAGAAGATATGCTTCAATAACCTTTTTGCATGAACTACTGCACAGCCAAGTAGACTGCCATTTGCTCCTGTCAGAACTGAACTTTAGGGTGCTAAGACCTCAGTCACAGCTGAATCTCACATTTTACTGCTCTGCAGCACGAACAAACATAATATCGCATTCTCCAATTAAATATATATGTGAAAACTACAACTCGATATGCAGCTTTTGCGATATTAATACTTGCTTGGCGAATCATATAAAAAAAGTTGCAATGGAAATCTTAAAGTGATATCAAAACTGTTTTTTCTTTTTTGTGTTGTGAGAGAGTCAGTTATTATAATCACTCTTACCAAGTAGCGCAATGAATAGTTATGCTATCAGTTTTTCTTTTGTTTTAGTTTTCTTTCTTTTGTTTTCTATTCAATGTTATATATCATTGTTATGTTATATTCATATAGCATGTAAAGAATGAACAGTACTGATGTATTTAATTATGTTCTGTAATTGGGTGTTACCTGTTGGGCAATACATTATATTATTATTATTATTATAGCTGATAGAGCTCACGAATATACAAAAAAATGCTTATCAGAACTTCTTCGAGAATTGGAATAACGCTGACATAAGTGTATTATATCTGAGGGGAATACTTTGAAGGGGACAGAACAGAAATTGATGAATACATATTTTTCGAGAAAAATGAATATCACCTTATTTTTTCAACAGACCAAAGCAATCCAAAATATATTGTTTTTGTCAAAATTGTGAACTTCTCATTACAATTCAAGAAAAGGATTTAGATGAAGTATTATTTATTCTTTAACAACATTCAACTCCAGGGTAATTAATTTTCAAATTGAATAACCTGCGAAGATGATAAGTCTAATTCACATACCTTATGTTTTTGACCATTTGTATGACTGCTGAATATAGGATTGACAACAAAACGCCTATACCCGCACTGAAAGATTAACCTTTCTTTAGATTTGATTGGCAAATCACTGCACGGAGTTCTCTTCAAAACAGTATTCAAAACAGACATCTTGTGCTCGTGTGGAAACATCCCAATTAACACAACAGGGGATTTAATCTCTCGAAACGAGGACCAAGTGAGTTGGGAAACGTCTTTGACATGTATTGTCAGATACCAACCGGGCTAGAAAAACACAAAAACATTTAAGAAAATGTCAAAGTATTTTATACCAGGAACATACCAAGACACCATCTTTATCTTCTTGTTGAGCCATTACACGTTTTCTCGTCCTGTCAAAGTTTTCAAACTGGAAAATTCTAGCGTAATCACTTGGCAAATTTTCTTTTGGATCCCATGGAGATGATCTGTAATGAACCAATGATAATTCTCTCTCACAGGCAAAGTCTTATAAGCAGTATTAGTCAGCAACGAGAGTTATACTTTGTCAATTATGAAATCTTATTGACGAAGCATTGGTAACTGAAACTGAATACATTTACCAGTTAGTTGGTGAGTTGTTATGTCAGTAAAAAAGTAAAAGCCAACACATAGTAAGACATATCTAGATGAAATTTGGATAAATGATAAAACAATAAAACACAATATGGGAGATTTTTCATAGCTAAGCCAGATTGTCTAAATAATACTGTTGAACACTAGTATGCCATTTTCACAAGTGCATTTTTCACTGTCTTTTGACATAAAGGGTAGTTTGTGATATTTTTTCAAATACAATGAATTGTATTGTCATTTTAACGTGTATTATATTATCTTTGATCAGTTGTGACTCTATTGAACATATGTGTTGAATAGAGATGGAGTCTAGAGTAAACATTACATGTTTGATAAAACATAATATCACAGGAATCCTGTGAATGATATTTGTTCCATTTCATTAAGATTATATTATAATTTATAAGCTTTTGTGAATAGTGGCTGACCTGAAACTTTCCAACCCTCTGTACTTCTGGAATCGAACCCTTGCCAATTGATCTGTTGGGGTATCTACTTCGTCTGGAAACTGCTGATCACTTTTCGCAGCTTTCAGTTTTAGAAGTGCCTCTTTTTCCGCGTAAATATCCATTTCATTGTCATATTTTTCGTCATTAACTGCCACCTCCGAGTCAGTAACAGTTTCCAGGTCAACGTCTTTTTCTTCGTCCAAATTGTCTGACCTGTCTTCGGACATTGCGTCCATGACCTCATCTGCAGACTGATCTTCATCATTTTCTAACTGATCTTCCTGAAACTCTGCATCATCATCAGGGATCCAAGCTGCTTGATAGTCAGACCAGCCTTTTGGCACCTTCTTGACCTTCCTCAACTGCGACTGATTCAAAGGATAATGTCTATTAGGTAATTTTCATTCAAAGTAAACCAATGTTTTTAATACAGTTTGAAACATTCCAACGCAAATACTTTCCAGGCCGATACAATGATGGATATTGAACTCTGTTTTTTTTATTTAATTCTTCATCATCATGAAGTACATAGTATAAGCAATATCACAGAACAATGGACACATCATTACAAAAATTTTATTTAGAAAAAATATTCAATATTTTTGTAAATGAAATTGGAAATTTTGATAATGTAAATTCTCCAATGTTGGCAGATGATTTGAAGATTTACAGGCTTAATAAATCACTCAACGACCAAAAAATTGTTACTAAACTATAAGAATATATTTAAAATTCATAAGTGGAGGGTAACCCAAGTCTGATGACAATTCTACGTTCATATTCTGAATTGAAAGTTGAAGAGGAAAAGTGTAGACATATTTTCAATATTTCTGCATATATAGAAGATACCGCAAAAACTTAGAAAATAACCGAATATCCATCATGACAACATAAAAATAAAATGGTTGATGACAAATAGTAGGGATCTGATAATTGATTAACAAAGTATACACACTAAAAGTAATACAAATGATTACAAGAAATATCACCTTCCAAGTACCTGGGTTCGGATCTAAAGTTTGTGTGGCGGTTGAATTTGAAACTAACCCAGAAAATAGCTTAGTAATAGTTATCACCAACTGTTATGTTATGTTTTTTTCTGTGTATACTATGAGTATGGTGACTAAAAATGTTCATGAGTTATAAAAGGATTCATGTTAAAACACTCACTTGCTGATTCCTTTCGGCTTCCTCCAATTCTTCATTTGTGGGAAATGTCTGTTCAGCATCCATAGGATCGGGAATATTTTCGGAATCAAGAGATTCTTGTTGACTTGGATCACTAATTTCCAGAATTCTAGTGACAGACTGTTTACCTGATTCCATGAAACTGAAAATTTTTTTTAAAAATATATTAGCTATTTACTTTTGCAATAACAAAAAGAAATTGTAACACTATATTTTTCATAAGTTTTCTGCATAATATATCAAAAGGTTTTTGTGAAACAATATTCAGTCTGATGAATTATGGTGTTTTATAGGAGCAGATCATTAGATGAATTAGTTACAATTCAATATGAATAATTTTGAGATATATTACAAGTGGACAAAAGAAATTGAAAAAAATTCACCAACTTTGTTTCATAACAAATGTATTCTGTGGATATAAAAGAAAAGTAAAATATGTAATTTTCCAATTAGCAATATTCTGTGTATTAAATAAAATTTTCAATGCGTTCAAATGGAAAAATGATCCGCCTTACTTTTTTTTGTCGAATTTGTGATTATCAAAAGGAGCATCAATTTGTGACATCTGGAAATCACCCAAACCAGGAATGTGCACCAATTGGTTGACGGAAAGAGCTGCTCCTCTTAGATATCCTGTGATTTTTAAAGTACCAAAAGTTCCTGAAATAAAATTGAATGTTTCAATAAACAAATTGCCCATCTTTGTTTTGAGGCTCTTTTATAAAGAATGTAGGTACTATTGGTTGATTATCATCATCTGAAAACTGGGTCATCATATAAACAATAAAACTCTATAAAGAAAAAAAAATCATGGTGCAAACAGATTTCGTTGTTGAGTACCAAAAACAGAAATTATAGAAAAGTTTTTGCATGTCGGGGACTATCTTGGAACCAAGAAAATATTTTGGCAACATCGCCAAATTCACATATTTTTATCCTGGGCATATAAAATAACTTCACCCTATTCAAGCGTATATCTCAGAAAGTAAACTTACATTCACACTATTTGAAAATTACTAAAGAACAAAATAATCTTCGAGTGATATAGTAGGTTCATCCCTGAAAGAACTTTTGCTATGACAAAAAAAGGGTGGTGTATGAGTGCTCCCATTGTTTTTTTTTGTGATAACTTTTTAAAGTTAAACCTCAAATCAGGTCTGTAAACCAGCCAGTTATGTGATTTTCACTAATATAAAAAACGAGATTTTTTTCACAATTAGTAATCCTCAAATTTTGATTTCAGATAGTACGATTTTTGTGCACAAGATGGTAAGTATTTGGTATGGAAGAAGTCATATGATTTTTCCTATGAATGAATTGATATTTCTTTCTTTTGAATCTTCTTCAATAGTTGATGCAGATGTTAGGGCTAGTCAAAAGAAGTTATGTTGTAAAGGCGGTGAGAGCCTGCCCTCCATCTAGATACGGGCCAGAAATTCTATTTCAACTCAGTCCGATATCATGGTTAGGACAGCAAAAATATTTTAGGGTTTCATTTGTGTAGTGATACTGCTCATGACACATTTTTTCATTTGCAAATAATAGAAAATGTTCGTAATAAGTTATTCTGAGAAGGATTAGTGTAGATGGGGTGTACTATAGGAATTTTATGTGACGGTATGAATCTGTGAGAGTATGCCATTTTTCATTGCAGTACCCTAGGACAATGATTTCAAATTGAGGGGAAGAGGGAGTTTATGAAGCAGAACTTCGTGGTTGTCATTCTGGAATGAAGGATTAAAGGTATGTTTTATGAATCTTATTTCCTTGCATGAACTGTTGCCTCAGAACTAGATATTTAAAAAATATGTTATTCATGTCTTCACAACTTTTTTTGTGATGAACAAATTTCGATGAAACTCTGAACAGTGTTGTGTTCTAGTAGAATTCTCGAATATCTATCTGATGAAAATAAAAACATTCCAATCAACTGCAAAATACATGCCTTAGGGCTACATGACTGCAGGACTACTAGAATTAATTCTTTCATATCAAAAAGGAAAAATTATTCCGAATATTATACCTTGTTCATTTGGAACATATTCCACCTCTTCACCAAACACATGTGGTCTTCGATCTCTGTACAGCACTGGCTTCCTTTTTTGACTACCAATTCTTCTCAAAAGGTTTATACCATCCACGTTTTTGTCTAGCACCATAACTTTTTCATCCGGTAACCATTTATTAATCATCTTTTGGATAAACTGTTTGTTTTGATTCCTCTTTTTAGGTGCAATACTTTCTAAATCAGTAACAACTACTACCGGTGTAGGTAACCCCTTGAAAAAACAGAATTAGCTTGTTGAAACAATTTTTTTTTATTCTTACTTGTGCTAAAATAGAAGTTAAAATGTTTATTCCCCATGAGTCGATCAAGGATTCATTTTCTTCTTGGCCAACTGCAGCTGATATCAGGAGTAGAACAGTATCAGCAACTTTCAGAGTATCCAAAATACCGAAATCATAATCGACAGCTGGTGTTACGAACTCATATCTCTGTTTGAACCTTGGTATACTGGAAATAGAAAATGAATGAAAATAGAATTTATTACAGATTGGAAATATAAAACCTACACAAATCAAGGTGGCATTACTATTTTACTTGCATTATTGATTTGACATATGATGAAAGTCACTAGAATTCAAATTCAACAACTGGGCTTGAATACAATACACTACACTAAAATAACTGATACAAGATAAAATATAACTCGAATAAAACAAGAATAACATTTATTTCACATTGTCCTCCGATTATTTTTCTATTTACTTAAAAAAATACCACTTTCAACAAATTTCCCATCATTCATATTTTTTCTCATTTTTGCTGCACCGGGTATAAGGTCCTCAGTGTATAAGCTTACCCGATATGTGTGACTCCTTCCTTTGCATGAGAAACCACAGCTTCTTCATCACATTGGGAAAGTATTTCTATCGCACTGGTCGGGTCCAAGGTTTTGTTCAACGGTAAAACACATATCAGAAATGGAGCACACTCTAGGCCCCCTAGAGATCTTTTTTTTGCCAATACTTCATCCCTTTTGTTTTGTCGGATTTGAGATTCTCTGTGTCTCCTCTGTTCCCTATTCAACTCCTGCTTAATTTTTTTAGAGAGCGTCTTGACCGAAACTTTTCCTGAAAATTTAGACGCTTTAGAGTGTGCTTTTTCAATATAACCTAACATTACCTTTATTTTCTATGGATATGGAGCCTTTGGAACGGTGTCTCCCGTGTTTGTGACTCTTATTGGGCTGTTTGAAGGGACCCGGTCTATGGACTACGCTATTGTCTTTTGCCATTTTTCAGAATCGTATATCTAAAAAGATTCAGAATATTTCACTCCCTCAATGTAAACATAACCCTAAAAACACATGTCCCTGAAAACACACAGAACACAAAATAAAAACATAAGGTTTGTTCTGTTTCTACAGGTTTGTTCTGGTTCTGCGAAATTCAGGTTCTAGGACGTCAGGATCATGCGCAGTTGATATAGAGCGTTTTGGTTTATTGAGGATAATTTCGGACTGATGAATCCTCTGTTCTGGTTTCGACTGCGAAATGGTCCTAAACTGTTTTGAACATTTTGAACCGTCCCGAATCGTTCTTGTTCTCGAGGCGGAACTGTTGAGAACTGTTCTCGTTGCTCATGCGCGTTCATGTGGAAATTTGATTGGGCTATTTGCTAGGATATTTTTTTATTTATTTGATTTGAATAATTGATGATTGAGGTTACACAACATTCGAACTGACTAAAAGGATACGCTACATTACAAAATGGACATGATCAATAGTATTTTCTCGTCTTCATCTCTTGATATATACGATAGGTGCCACAGTGGTCTCCTCAAAAGCGTTCTGGTTTAAACAAGTTTCGAGACTATTTCGGGCTGTTTTCTGTTTGTACGCATCATGTCTTGCGCAGTTTCCAAACAGTTTCGGATGTTATAAGCAGAACAAACCTGTAATGAAATCGGCCCACACTGATGAAAATGCAAAACCACACTTTATTGCGAGATTTTCTCTGGACAGTTTCACAAAAACGCAACACGTGTTTTTCCACACAATAGCTTCTTCAGGCGTGTCTGTGTTAGTATACTCGTATACTACTAGCATAGTATACTAGTATATTATACTAGTAAAGTAGAGTAGGTATACTATACTAGTATAGACACGTCTGAAGAAGCTATTGTATAGCAAAACTGTGGAAATTTCACACGAAAGTGTTTCTTGAATACGGAACGGAAAGTGTTTTTCCTGACCAAAAAAAAATGTAACAGAATATGTCGAAAAAAGTAACATTTGTCAGAAAATTGTAACTTTTGAATATAGCGCAGCATTTGGCGCCGAGAAGTTGGCAATACAAGATGATTTATTTTCATTATGTTGGTGACTGACTAAAGAAGTCGTGTGAAATGCTATTTAATCGTTGGTGTCGATCTCAGAGTAATTTTTTATTACTCTGAGGTGTCGATACGTTGACTTTCGGGTATGATACAACGATTATGGACATACAGGATTGCTTACTTACATATATCGCCACGTTAAACAAGCGCTGAACAGATGTGACGTAACATTGGTGACACTTTTAGTAGCTGCCATAAGACTGTGTGTTATTTTAACATTTTTTGAGGATTATTTTCGGACAGTATTACAATGTTTTTGTTTATTTTAATTAAATTTTTATTTAACTATACCAATTAGGTTTCTGAAACATTGAGTTTGTTATTGTGAAAGTCGTATTTTTTTGTGCTTTCAAACTGGTGTAACGAGTAGACGCCATATAAGATTAACAAAATTTTTGAGGGAGTTACAGTCTTCACGAAAATAATAAAAAACGGATAAAACCTCTTACTTTTGAAAAGGGCAAAATAGCTCGCCCTATCATCCACAAAAGAAAAATGTTTACTTAGTATCAATCAATTTATATTAAGTATTTAATCCTATATAAAAAGAATATTCTGATAAGGGATTTACATGAAATTTGTTTATTTTAATTTAAAAGTGCAGTACCGAATCATTCCAGAGTCACCACTGTTACGTCACGAGATCACGTGACATGTCTAACAAAATCGCAAAAGTAAGCAATCCTGTACGTCCATAATCGTTGAGTATGATACGCCAACTGCCAGTTTTGATACGTCAATTGTCAGTTCTGGTGCGAGAACTGCCAATTGAAGTTTCTCAAAATGTAACAAAATGGTTAAAAACGTATTATGGTAATGAGGGTGGTCACAAGGTTTAGGTGAAAAAATAGTTTCTTCGTAATGCTGGCGGATCAACTCTAATATTTGCTATTTGTCTATAAAATAAGATTTGTCCTAGAAATTTGACTTTCATTTCACAGGAAATGTTGCTATCTTCAAGTTATACTTTAAGCAATTTTTTCTTAAAACGTTTATATTTGAACATATATAATATTGTCCACGACCGGACATGATCCGAATCCTCAAAGTCGCTATTTTTGGAAAATAAGTGGAAAATGCCAAGAAAGAAACTAATCACTGTTGATCAATTTTCTGTTTACTTTGAACATTATACATGATTAAACAATATATAATTAAACAAACAAAAAAAACTTTTTTCAATTTTATAAATGTTTCTTCGATTGTAAGTTAGTGGTTACCTGTCTCTATCCCTTAAATGGTCGGATTTGTTACAAAAAAGCTACTGCCAAGCCAAGGAGCCTTTCTTTAGAGAATCTCTACCTAGAGTATTATAAACCACATCTTTCCTTTTGTGTTTTCCTTGTCTGGGATGCCTGGGATTTTCCTACTCTTTTAAAAGTGTGAGGTAGGATGTCAGACCAGAGAGCTTTAGTTAACGTTTTCCTTTCAAACAGTGAACATTATTGATCAACGTTCTTCTCATCATCAACGGTCTTCGTCATCACCCGAAGATGGTTGTGGATACTAACAATGGAAACATCGAAAAGTAACTCGGTTTGAAATTTTTTTGATTTTTATTTCCGATTGGATATTAATCCAGGATGTATATGCCATATAAAATTGAGAGGGTTGTAATTGAAATGGATTTAGGATTTTGTTCAAGAAACATCTATATCTACTGCACGTCAAGTTGATATTGTTTATTAGTAAATTGACATTTCACTGATTTCCATTCTCATAGGCTGACCAATATCAACTTCATGGCATGCTATATGACCAATATGCTGAATCAGTAATAAAAATACGTATTCTTCTTATTCTTTTCATTTATGTATGTCGAATATCAGTGGCGCCAATAAGGAAATGCATGAAACGTGTACAACCGTTTTTACGTGAATATGGCCAAGTTATCATAGGTAATAATTGATGAACCTGCGAATGATCCTAGCATGGACTCGAAAATATGATTCGCAGATCTACGTTTACGCAGAATTGCATATACCTACGCATTGAGTTGAACAATTAAATATTTTCAAAAAGTTCGTTTATGTCGACTAGTTTATGAAACGTGAAATGTTGAATAAAAAAATCTTGAGTTTGAAGGTATTTCACATTAGATAAGATGAAATTTTGATAAAAATAATGACTGCAATACAATTTTCTAGATATTTCACAAAATTTAGATTTTGACATTACTACTTTCCGAGTATTATTTTTACAAAGTCATATTTCCCTAACAATTTAAAAATTTCCACCATCAAAACCAGTTTTATTTTGTGGTGAAGAGTTGTTTCTTAAGCACTGTTTGGTGATTTATTTCGAGGCCTAGGTTTAATCAAAGACATTTTCGTGAAAGTTTATTTCTTACATAATGATGATAATCATATATTTCATAAATATCACAGTATCTTCTTTAATTACACTGTGTTGTTTTTATACAATACCTACGAATACATTGTATGAATGCAATGCACTTTTTCATATGAGTTTAGCGCAATTGAAAATTAATTATACACTGATGTGATTCTGAAAGGACGAAACGGAAAATAGGAGGGTTTTTGTAAATAATTTGTTTCTTGTGTAATATCGAACGCGAAGGTTTTGTTTGTCGCCGTAAACTTTCAATTTTATTTGATTTACCGTAATCAAATTTCTCATTCCTCTTCTGTCTTCTCGTTAGAATTATGAATATAGAATAAATATTTTTTTTTACAACGACGTAACTTCTGGTTTATCTTTGAGAGCATTATTGATATCTTCATCGTTAACACCATCTATCTCGAGTCTCTCGACATTATCGTTGAACGCCACAGATTTTCGTCTATCCGGGGGATCCGTTGACGTCTCTCTTCTACTTAGGTCTTCGTTGGGACTGAAAATGAACCCTGTTGGTCTTCTTTCTTCGAGCGATGACGATCCCATTCTGAAACAGATGAAAGTCTGGTCGGTTTAAAATTGTAAAAATGTTATCTGAACGTTATGACGTTATGGCTATCGTTGGTTATACGGAAAGTTTCGGGCGCTTTTTTGGAGTATGAATTCTAAGGGAGATAAATCTAGTCTACTCGGAAATCTCTCTCTGAGTACTGTTGGATGGAAGGAAAATAATGAGGTGGAGGATTGTCCCGCGCTACACCAGAATGGTTCTGCTTTAATTGGAGGTAGAGACTGCTTGATTGTTTTCTGTGAGAAATAAAGTACCAATGATGGAATTCTCAAAAATATGAGTCGTAATACTCAGTTTCTTTCTCAGTTATGTATATTTTTCCCAGAAATACGACAATTTTCATCATATCAATAGCGAAAAAACTCTGAATACTTATTGAGAAAATTAAAATTTGTCAAAAGATCATGGAAGTTGTTGACTAGGTTGAACATGACTTCACAGAAATGTCTTTCTCTATCAAAAACATTCTCACATATATCTTGAAGTATATGCATTTTTCAGAAATAAACTTCGGTGCTTTTATTATGGTCTATTCTCTTACTGATTGTAGGGAGCTAGTGGGATCTGCTACAGTTATTTCTAATATTTCAATATAAACTTCATTGAGTGGGTTATTTCTTTTTCTATTTGTTTTCATCCGTCATATTTTGTCCATACCAAATCTATCTTCCGGGTTTGTTGGTCGTCGTCCCCGCTATCTTCGCCCTCCAACAAACTTTAATACAGAGTAAAGGTATTTCTACAGCAGTTATAGACGATTAACATAAACATTTGCAGACCACGACTAACAAACCCTGGAAATAGCTGAAACACAGTTCCAGTCAGTGTACATTCTTTGTTCACATTGTGTCTAGATTGATCCAGCTAGTATTCAAACCAAGGTTTTGTGAGAGAATAAAAGACTTGAGAAATGATAAAAAAGGTTTATTACAACAAAAAAAAAGACACAAAATCGAACTAAGATAATTTAACAATGCTTTTATGTCGGAACTTCTGCTCATTTTTCAATAACTTTTGGGTGGACTGTTCTCAGTAAGTACGTTTGATAAAATTAGTGTTATCAAAAATTATAAACTATTTTTTTGTATTAATCACAAACATATTTTCGCATAAACAGAACTTTTTCTATAGTTGATTGGTGATCTGAATTTGATTCGTGATTTATATAAGTAGTTCATATTTCCTTTGTTGTGAACAAGACTTACTTGGATGAAGGTCTGGATTTAGATTGCCTGTCGTATCTCATTCTATAATATTCCTCTTCGTCCATTTGCAGATTTTTTTTATTCCTGTAATGAAAAAAAAAAAACGTTAGAAAGGGCGCGTATAAATTTAAATTCAGTACAGCGAGTGTGCTTTAGACCACACGACTGAAGTAAAACTTCTTTAGCTCCATTTATCTTTTTAGCATCAATAATAACGCAGTTGGCAGTGGTGCCGACTTAATTTGGAACACCCTGTATATATAACTGCCACCGCACTTGTCGGTTGATTGGTCAAACTACCAACATTGACATGAAAACTTGGCAAGTTGACTTGGGTGTCACACCAATAAGTGGTTCCACTTATGTCTCGCTTGCGTTTACGCAGTTATTTCTATTGAGTACTTTTCTTGGTTTTTCACATCTTCAAATCGAAATTATTTTCATTATCGGATGCATCAGTAATTATTGTGGTAGATTGTGAGATTGAAACAATATGCTTATGGTATGAAAAATAAGATAGGTACATATGCTTTCGAATGAAAATTAGAAAGAAATCTAAAGAAACCTGCATCGATTGTTGTTCCGTGTCTTGTGTTGTGTTCCGTGTCATTTCGGTTATTATTCATTTGTTGATCTAATTCATCTTGTAGAAAGTTTACCAAGAGTTGTCATTTTCGGACGCGAAATTAACATTGAAATCTCCTGCTTAAATAAGTGGCAACGTATGATAGTTTTCCCCTAATTCTTTAGAGCCTACTCGACCGTTAATGTGTGCTCGCACCTCTCTCTCTCTCTCTGTCTCTCTCTACAGTAATATACGAAGCATATCTCTCTCTTTCTATCTTCACCAACTCCTCCCTCTCAACTTCCGTTCGCCTCGCTCGATCGGACTTTTCGTAACGGTCTTGTCACTCATTCACGAGCTTACTCCCCAAGTCAAGAGCGCGTAAAAAACTTTTTCTCACCTGACCCTGAAGTAATAAAAAGCAACAGCTCCGGCTATTAATGCCAACAAAATAAGACCTAGGACAATGACTGCCGCTATGTAACCTGTGGTATCTACCGAACTCTCCTTGTTTTCATCGTCATTATTATCTGAAAAAAAAAAGTGATAATCATATCTTCCATATTTCTCTAAAACTAAGATACAGGATTATTTTTTTATAAACAGGTACTTCCTGTAATGAATTCAATCAAATTCTACTCATTATGAAGATATCAACTGTTATGAGCCACCAACAGTTATGTTGGTGCCTCATTATAACATAACTTAGTTATGTTTGAAGTTTTGAATTTTTGTCTACTATAAATATGTATGTCTCTTGGGAAAATAAATAATCATTATTATTACAAGAATGTGGTAAATGAATGAATTATTTGAATACTGAATAATCAATATATTGCACAACATTCATTGAAAACTAAATTATAGCAACAATAATATAGAGAACTGTAATACATTTTTAGCGAAGTGATTCAAGAAATTGTTTTTTTTTTATTATTTCATCATGTATCGTATTTATTTTTCTTAAATTACATTGAATGTTTGTGGATTTTTTCTAACTGAATGTGTTGTATAACAAATTTCAAAGTCAAAAATAGATTGAATATCTAAGTGATTACGTGATTCATAAACTTGAGTTACGGTCAAAATATGTTAAATTGAATACACATTAATTTTTTTCATTTTACTCTTTTCTACGAGGATTTAGTATCAATGTATTCTAGATATCAATTTATTTTACATACATGTATACTTGTTGTACTTAGAAAACTAAATAAAAAAAATTAAAATAAAAATTGTCCTTGTTTATTGTCATCAACATTAACAGAGATTGTCAATAATTGAAACTTGATTTGTGGTAGTTTAGTAATGTCATTAATCATCATTGAATACACATTAATTTTTTTCATTTTACTCTTTTCTACGAGGATTTAGTATCAATGTATTCTAGATATCAATTTATTTTACATACATGTATACTTGTTGTACTTAGAAAACTAAATAAAAAAAATAAAAATTGTCCTTGTTTATAGTCATCAACATTAACAGAGATTGTCAATAATTGAAACTTGATTTGTGGTAGTTTAGTAATGTCATTAATCATCATTGATCATGTTATCATAATTTCTTCAGTATTCCAGAAAAATAAAGTAATGTTGTTTCATCTCCATATAACTTGATATTTCCTTTCAACAATAAATTTGCAACATAATTTATATGAACCAAACATGAAATCGGAACCAAAATATATCCTTGTGGAACTCCACCATTAATACTGTTTGAATGAATTGGATTTTTTTTGGATATTTGGTAAATATAATCTAATATTGCAATAATGAGCAAAAAATGCCCGATGAGTTTCAGATATTTTCCTGTTTCAAACTTCCAGAAAGAACATTTCTTGATAAGAGGAAGTGAACAAATAACGAATATAATTACTGGCTAAGTGTCTTTTTGGTAGTACAAAACGCCAGGTTAATTTCAATATTGTAACTTTTTTAGTGCTTGTGAAAAAAATTGTTATACACATTTTATGTACCCCCTTTAAGGGGCTGTATCTTAACAAGGGATGCTCCAATGAAGTTTCTTTATATGAAAGATCCTATCTTTTTTTCGATGAGGAATCACACCTCGTTAATTGTTTTACACTTATTTAGGTACACNTAAAATAAAATTGTAATTGATTTCTCACATCTACGGATATTTTTTTCATACATATATATGGTGTGACTGATCATGGGGGGGGTAATTACCCCCTTTACCCCTCGCTGTATACGCGCCTGACTTATCCCCTTTTGATATGATGTTTTCTCCTTTTCAATTTTTGTTCAAAGTTTCCTAGGCCATTTGTCTTCACAGTTGGTTCAATGAAATTACCCCCCTTGAGCAAAAGGAAGTCATAATTTCACATAGATTCGCACTGAAAATCAATGCAGCATACGATACTCTTTAACGAAGTTGATCATAATCAATTAATTATTGATCAGTTGACACATCTGCTATAAATATGTCTGTTTCATTTGATGACTATCAGATTTAAAAAAAATACATATTTTCTCTAAAAATAGTTTTCTGAAGCTGCGCTGATTCGATGTTGTACTTACAGTCGACTTGAATATTCAGCACAGTTGAAGCTGACCTCCCAGAGCTTTTCAAAGTGACCTTTAGAGTGATTGGTATAAATTTATTTTTCTTCAGGATGTCCTTTGGTATGGCTTTGATCACAGCAACTGAGATAATATTGTTGTTATAAGAGAATTTGAAGTACTGATCAAAGTGGTAATCTGCAAATAAACAATTTCATGTCAATTCACTGTTATAGCCCAAACAGTATTAGATATAAGTTAAAGTTTGAAAGTGACTGATGCTCTTTATATCTTTGATTTTTTTCATTCCCCAAGTTGGTTATAATTCTGATAAAAATATAATATGAACACTGGCAGGGAAACTTTTAATACTGTTTCGTATTTGTTATAATCTGTAATTAACCAATTTGACTCATATTTGGTGGAGGTACTTAACCGAGTACAAGGTATCCCCCTCTATATTAATCTGCCGCGCTTTAGTAAATCTCGAAATCCCCGCTTGACCTCCTTTATTATTACAGTGGCTACAAAAATCGATCATAAAAACTACAGGTCCGTATCTAACAAATAAAGTTGATGACACATGCACTTTCCATAAATACATTTTTACATGTTAACAATTTTCCCTTATCAGTGCAGAGTGGATTCTGAAAATTATAATACTTGACTGGTATGTATGTAGAAAACTTACCATTTTTAGTCGTGATATCTATATCGGAAGCCATATTTTGAGTAATAACTTTAATTTCATCCACCTTGAATTTTGGTTCTTCTATTTTCTCTCCTACAGAGTATACTCCAGAGTACAAAATTTTTTCAAAAGCAATCGTGTCTGTGTTGTCCGTGTTATTTTCTCCTGAAAGAAATATCGTTGATTCATTGTTAAATGAAAAATAATATGGAGTATAATAATATCACTTCATTGGATAAGTGAAATTTTTTTTTCTCAATTGCGAAGTTTATATGTTCCAGTAATGTACAAAGTGAATCAATCATTGTGTCCCGAAATTTTGTAGATCTCAAAATTCAAATAACGTAATTGAAATTGAAGTCATGTAAACTGTCAGGTGAATATGCAAATTTCCTTTGACACTATTCATTGAATTCCTGCTAAATTATATTAGGCATTCATTCAACACATGGGCTATAAAGTCCCGGACCTAAGGAAGAAAACGCGTTTTTTTTGTTCAAAATTGTATTTATTTATCAACGTAATCTCCATCAAGAGCCACACAATCATTCCATAGCCGCTATAACATTTAATAATAATAATATAATATTAATAATCGGCTTTATTCATCGAATAATTACAAATTAAACACAGTGTAACAATCGATGAAAGGCGAAGTTCAGCTTATGTTGTTTTTCAACTTAATCTAGGTATTTATGAAATAAAAAAAAACCTATGAAATAACAAATAATTTTAACAACTAACCATCAAATAATAAGCAAATCCAACAAACATACACATAACCATAAACACATAATCTGCAATTTTTGTAGAACAATTTATCTTTTGCCTCAAACTAGGCCTCAGTTTCAGCAATAATCTCTCCATTTGAGCGGAATTTCTTAGCGGTGAGCATTTTTTTGAGGTCTGCCAACGGCCAGTAGTCGCTGGGATCCAAATCTGGTGAATACGGTGGATGTGGGAGCAATTCGAAGTTCAATTCATGTAGTTTTGCCATTGTTTTGATTGACTTGTGACACGGCGCGTTTTCTTGATGAAACACATTTTTTTTCTTTGCTATATGCGGTCGTTTCTTTGCTTTTTCGGCCATCAAACGCTCCAATAACGCTATTTAATAATCACTGTTGTTGTTTCTGATGGTGCGTTATTTTTTCTCATCAAGAAGCAGTGTAGAATCTATTGATCTATTGTTTTGAAAATAAAAGTAGTGTCACTCTTTGCACAATAACTCACAAATTTATGAATAGAATATCATGAAATTTCAACAGCGTTCTGTTGAAGGTTAGAACTAACTGGAAAAGCGGTGAATGTTCATGTATTATAGTAGGTTTCACGGTGTATGGTATTGGTTAAACGATTATAATGTTACGTTTTACCTGGTGGGTTTACCAATAATTGACTACACTGAACAATAATCAAACTCAACTTTATTTCACTTCAAATACAACAAACACTCCAACTGAAACTTCAACTATTATTCAAATGTCTATCGCCTTATTAGATCGCTTCACGTACCGTATTATCACTTCCACTTGATTCTCTCGATGGGCGAGTGGATGGCGCTTATACCTGGCAATCGAAGGACGTAGAAAGTTTTTCGGAATTCTATGGAAGTTGGTGGAATATTTGTCGGGAATTCCATCGATTCGGTGCGAACAGCCGTGAAATGTGGGTAGAACTGAGCGTGTTCTTCGCCACGTCACAACTGTTTAATGGCTACCATTGGCGGCCGGTGTCAATTTCTTTAGGGCATGATTTACAAAAATAATAAAATCGATTAGACCCTTGAGTTGTAAAACCCGAATCAATTAAAGGGAAGAGAATCACAATATTACACTACACTATACAATGTGATCAAACCAGGTAGTTTATTGTAGGTGATAAGTCAATACCGTTTAGAGTTGAACATACTATACTCCTATGTTCCATCAGAGAAGATAATTGGAAGATCTTTAACCTTAAGCATAAATAACAGTGGTCCGAGAATACTACCCTGCGGTGTTCCTTTTATTGATAAATACCTATAAAACATAGGTTGGACAAGAAAAAACCCAATGTGGCATTTTCACATTGCCTTGAATGCCAATGTTAAATTGGTATAACTAAAATTATTTTTCTTTTCGAAGTATTGAAAGCTCATGAAAGGACCACATAGCATTTTTATTTTATATTCGACAGTTCAAACTTTCGATTTTATGGGCCTTTCAGTGCCTTCGTAGAAGCACTATTAGCTAATTGAATACCATGTCAACAATAATATTTGCCCCGTTAAAATTGAAAGGGAGACTAGCTTTTTGGAAGAAAAACTTCTCGGCCCTCACTTCCCAATCTTTATATTAAAAACATTGTGGGAAACTTCAAAAGGAAGAAAGAAAAGTAAGTATATGAGATACAAAGTTTGTATCTGAAATTAGCTTCTATGCATGATCTACACATTTATGTAAATAGTTCATTTTGAACTCAATTGATTTCTTCTTTCCTTTTTTCCTAAAATATGTGGGAAAAAGTTTCGTAATGGGTTTAAAAATATTCAGACAACAGACAACAATTTGTGAATATTGAAAAAGTATGAAACAATCAAAATTCTTGCATGAATTAAGAATCAAATTGTTTTTTTTTGAAAAAAAGCCCAATACTCGATGGTCTTGATTTTAGTCACTAATCGTCATTCATTCATTATTTATTCCATTAACATTTTTCAATGTTTTTGTTGTTATGTTGAGTAGTGAATAAAAAACACATATATACATTTCTTCCTTACAATTTTTATTTTTCCATATAGTGGAAGGTGAAAATACCCAAAAAAGTTAATAACTGAATTGTATTGTTGTTTTTTTTTTCAAATTTTTCATCTCTGTTGAAATCAATTAAAGACAGGTTTGTTTCTTGAGGAATAGATCAAGTTATGTTGGCGTGATCAGAAGTTTAGCTGTAAGTTCTGGTTTGTGGTTGAAATGTATTTGTGAAATGAAAAACTTAAGGTAAAACAATGTTGGTCTCCATTTTTCCCTGACTCTATACAGTAAAACTTACCTTTAACTCTGAGGTTCAGCACAGCAAATGCTGAATGCGTTGTATTTACGATTTGAACTTTCAACTCCACTGGTATATTTGATAAGTTTTGAAGTGTTTCACTAACCACAGTATTTGTTAAGTCAATTTTTACAACTTTGTTGGAGTAGTTAGTTGAGAAGTATGTTGCATATTCTGTGGAACGAAAAGAAAGATATTAAATGAAAGTCAATATTGAACAATGAATGGCAGTAGATCAATCATTTATTCTGAAAAATAAATTGAGTTGTCGAAGAATTAAATCAAAGGATGAACATTACTTGGTGTCCTGTGTGATTGAGGCAATAAATTAATTTTCTTACATATGTTTCTCGGAATGTTAAATCATAAAGTGCTTAGGAAAAACTCATGTTTTGTAAACTTACCGTTCCCTACAGATATATCAATAACATCATCCTCTTGGTCAGTATCCAAATAAATAGGGTCATAGTGTAGGGAAGCGTTGCCATCTTCAACTAGATATTCTCCGTTGTAGATGAAACTGGTGAAGGCCAACTTGATGTTGTCACTTCTCTCGTCTAATGGAATATAAAAACGTTTTCATTTTCAAGATTGATTATTTTTTTATGTACTTCTAACAAACAATTTGAATATATGTATTCAAAATATCTTCAATTGTATTAAAAAAAAAGTTTTTTTGACAGTTAGATAATATTTTTTGAAAACTTCTGTCATGAATAACATTTGAACATTTATGCCAAAGTTATACATTGTATATAAAAAATAGCACATACATTATGTATTGAATGAAAAAACAATATCATCAAAAATTCCAAGGGGTGATTTTTTTAAATTGAATACTCTAAGTGATTTTCAAGTTCCGGAGTTATTTTTCTGAACTGATACCGAATATGTGTCATAAGATGTAATTTTTATAAAATAATTCACAAAGAATGAATGGATTGAGATCAGGTAATCTAGCGAGTTATACCACTGTTACCCTTCTTCCATGAATTGATCTGCAAACGTTATTTTAGAAGCTCGCGCACAGGTATATCTAAATGTGACGGTGCGACTATAAAAATTAGATACTCCGGTCTGAAGTATTGGTTATTGACCAGACATGAAGCTCCTATCCATGTTTCATGAAAAAATATGAACCATTGTGTTCCGCATAATGATGTCATATATGAACGTTTGGAACTTTTTAGTTTAGACTGTTTAGAGCATCGCAGAAAATGTGCGTCGCTCATATTTTTATTCAAGTTAGTGAATGAGAGAGTTGACTGTCCTAAAATTCTTGAACAAATTAACTTCAATGTACCACGGCCAGCTTCACGATTTCAATCCATTTTCAGACCTCTCAGAGCAAGAACTAACATTATGCTCAATTCCCCAATATATGTTATGTGCACAAATTTCAATAGCATTTGTGCCCATGGTGATTTATTCTTCACTAACCTTCATAACAATATTAGAATTGCTAACATGTACTTGAAGTAGGTAATTAGAATTAGTTTTTGTTTTTTGTTAATTTTATTTTTCGTTTATAGTTAAGTATTATGAATAAAATTTTATATTGTCCTGTAAATGGGTAACTGTTGGACAATTGTTGTTGGACAATTATTATTATTTTCACAGTAGTGTGCGCTGGTCAGGCCCTATCCCCCGAAGCCCCGATACATTCGGGAGGGCGCGGCAGCATTATCAACCAATGACCACTCCTCCCCACACCGTGGTGTAAGTGATCATTGGGTCCGAGAATCATATGCCCTGAGCAAACGCAGTGAGCCAAAAATGACAGCCTTTTGCATCTGTGCGGCTAAGATTTCTGCCTTAGCGCGGCAAGCCGGTATGATTTTAAGATTCGAGAGTAGAGAGGACATCATTCCACCAAGGACTCCAATAATCAGAACAACCATCTTGACAGAGTGACCTGGATAGAGTCTGCGGGGTTCGAAGAGAAAATCTCGATATTTTATCCGTTTTTCCTCCTCTTTTCTGACGATATTCGTCTCGCCAGGAGCTAAAAACTCCACGACAAATATCGTTTTGCTCTGGAGATCGAGAAGGACTACATCAGGCTTATGAGCTTGTATGAGCCTGAGGGTGAGGAACGAATAATTCCAGTAAATTCGGTACTTCTCGTTCCCCTCAACGGATTCAATATCCCCCGGAGCGTAGGGCAACACCGGTGTCTCGTCAATACCGTAAAAGTGCCGTAGATGGTAATATAGCACTCTTAGGGCCGCGTTTTGTCGATGGATATAGGCCGAGACCGCATATGCTGGACATGCTGATAGCAAGTGCATTAGGGTCTTGGGCGCCTCGCGGCAGGCCCTGCACCTTGTGTCAGGAACCTCTATACCCATCACGCGACTGTGGTAGATTAAGGTGTTGAAGACACCATCCTGGCAAGCCATGATGAACCCCTCAGTTTCCGACTTCAGCCCACTCGACCTGAGAAAAGCGAACGTCAGGCGCTTTGATAAGCCAAGGTCTCCAATGTTATTGAAGAACACTCCATGCAGTGGCTTATTCTTGTCTCTCCGCAGAAGTAAGGTGATCTCTGCGGTTTTTATCTGAGCTTTTTGCTGAACGGCTTTCAACTCGGTGACAGAGTTGTGGTCACCTCGTTCAGAGTCGAAAACTATACCGAGTTCATCGGCTGCTCGGGCAGCTGCCCTAAGGAGAAATGCTCCAATTCCTGCTCTCTCATGGTCACATACCATGCAGAGAAGGGAATCCGAACTCCTGACGACTTTACAGGCTGTATCCAGTACCATTCTGTCATGTAGACACTCCAAACTCAAAAGTTCACGGCCTTCCTTTTGTCGGGAGAAGTACAACCGTGGAACGGACGATTTGGGATGCAAACTCCTATAGAGATACATCATTTTTCGGGTTTTCACGTCGAGGTGATATAGCTCCTCCCATGGTGAAGCGAGTTCGCCAAAGTGGTATCAGTTGTTCAATGCATCTCACTATGTTATCGGGTACCGCAAGGCATCTGAGCAAATGCAAAATGAGCTCATGCGAAATTGTATCAAATGCCTTACGGTAATCGATCCAGGCCATAGAGAGGTTACGCTTATATTGTAACGAGTCCAGCGTTACACATCTATCGATGAGCAGGTTCTCTTCACATCCAGCGACTCCTCTCTTCGACCCTCTCTGCTCCGTTCGAATAATCCGTTCGAACACTCGGTCAACTGCAGTGAGTATTCGTGTGTATAAGATGCTTGTAAACAACTTATAACACGAATTCAAGCATGTTATCGGTCTGCTCATGGCCGCTCTGCGTCCAGCCATGAGTTGAAAACCCTGGCCAGATGGCGGTGGGTACTTGCTAGTTTTTTCCACCAATAAGTGTTCAGCCCATCTGGACCTGGAGCAGCAAAGTTCTTGGAATCAACAAGGGCCCTTCGAACGTCATCCGGGGTTATCGGGTTGCGCAGTTCATTGAGCTCAGGCTGTCGAAGCTCTCTGTTGAAAGCTTCGAACTGCGCTAGGGCTGGAGTGTTACAGAAGGATTCCACCCGATCAGCAGTCGGCGGATTATCCACAACACATGGAGGCTTTTGGAATAAGCAAGAAGGTTTGTCGCGGAACCTAAGATTTTCCGCGATACTTCTCGCTCGCCTCACTAGTGACTTCTTAGCAGCCACTAGCATTCGTATCCTATCAAGGCAGTGCTGTTTGGTGGTCAACAGCACGGCTTGCCTTAGAGTGTGATGGATACGTCGTAGATTGGCGGCTATTCGCCGCACTGCGGGCGTGAAAGGCCAATTGGCCCCCTGTAGTCCACATTGGATACGAGACGCGTGTTGTCTCGCCGACGTGATCTTAGCCTCTATCTTGTGTATACGCCGTTCAATCTTCCGAACCGCAAGGCCAGGATTTCGTCCTTCCGATTCGGAAAGCGATTGGACGACGTTATACACGGCGGTGTTTATTATTATTATTATTATAATGTCTCATATTGTGAATGGAATTCTAGATTCCAGTGCGAATTTTCATCACACCAAAGACATGTGTTTTCCGGTTAACAGGTTAACATGCATGTTCAAATAAAACGGTACCTTGTCTGGAAGCAAAACTTAGCAAACGGATTGTTATATTATAACAATTAGTCACTCCTAGAAATATTACCCTCTCTATTTAAAGAATATTCCTGTTGGCTGGGATTTAATCAAATAGGTGAATGAAAGACATTACGATGTCATCGATGACATAAGTAGATCAAACTTATTCCGTGACATAAAAATCGCAATTCATGAATGAATTGTGTGCTTTTTCGTATAATTATATCCAGATTGGTACTGAAGAGCCCTTAGGCAAGTGTCTTACGGCGAAACATCGATGTCTACCAGTGAGGATGACAGTGTTCCATGTAAGTGCCATTTTTTACCATTCATTTAATGTAGAATTCCTATGAATGTTACCTGATTTTATTCCATAACGAAAGTTTGGAATACAAACTGAGTAGAGGATAGTTAGTGTCTTCTGTATAATTCAGTGTTCATATAAAAGTATTTGTTTCGAAATAATTTTTCTTTCGTGTAATTCAACGTTTATATGAAAGTAGCTGTTTCAGGAGGGCTTTTTCTTTCAGTTTGTGTCTGAAAGTTACTTCTTTGCATGACCTACATATCCATGTATAGAAATACTTATTTTAAAATTGATTATTTCCTTCCTGTCTTTGAAATATTCCCACATTTTTTGTAGATGGAGTAGGAGATGGAGTAGTAAAAAGGCAAAAACTTTCTTTCCCAAAAAACAATATAAACTGATTTAAAATATCAAAGCGTTCTTGATACTAAATAAAGAAAGAAAAATTCCAATTACTGTATTCAAAAAGATCATATAAAATGACCATCTTCTATTTTGAGATCAATAGAATGAGTAGGTACTTACTGTTCAGTTTAATGTTCAGAACGGTGGAAGAACTTTTATTAGTACTTTTGATACTAGCTATTAACGTCAGAGGAATGTAGAAGTTGTTATTAAATATTTCATCAGGTAAATTACTCTTAAGTTCCATCGAAACTTCTTTGCTGGAATATTTTGGAACAAAGTATAAACTGTATTCTGAAAAAGAAAGAAAAATCGTTAATATCATTGAAACCATGAATTGTATTGACTTGCCGTTTGAAATGTTGATTTCTATTTCGTTGTCAGCCCTGTCCGTCATCACTTGAATATTGCCATCTACCGTTAGTTTGCCGAAACCATTAATTACTGAATACTCCCCTGTGTGTAGTATTTTATCGAATAATACGAAACCAGTATTGTCATCATCATTATCTGAAGAGAAACTTACATTAGTAAATGAATTTGTGATATTGTACATAGTTTAAAGGAAAATTAATCAACTCGGAGAGCGAATCTTACGTTACATGATATATTTATTTTCAGTACTAATGAGTATGATTAACTAAGAGATAAGTTAAATGTTTACCATTATTTACGTGTCTGAGGACTGTATCGAGGTGAGACACATAATATAAGAACATACATATCTAGAAATAAAATCTCGGAATATTCGTTTCTCCCAACTACCTACACCTTAGGTTCTGGTAAATGTCTATCGGAAAACAACTACTTCCCCGGCTAATACCACGCTAGATACTGAATTATAGTTTAAATTGCAAACTCCTACTTGTGATACATTATTGGAAAGACTATAAAAATGCTATCTAATGGTATAAATAATAATTGTACAGGGTGAAGCAATAATTGTGAAACTTTGGCTTGAATGGAATATTTAATGAGGTTTTTGTTGATGTTTCACAATGACAATGATGTGTTCAATGATGTGTCACAAGTAGGGGTTTGCAATTTAAATTTTTTGTATTTTGGTGGGTGGAGCCTAGGGGGTTGATGGGGGTGAGTTCTCTTTTATGTCACTCTAGTTCCCCCTTACTATCCTAGAAATGGTTTCAAGCATTTTTCGATAACAGCTTTCGTTCGTGAGATATAGCCCATTGTAAGTTTTGAAATTGACACACTGTATAAAGAACAACAAGTCAAAAAATGGACAAAGATAACTTGAGTCCATACAGTGTACCGTGATGTTACATGTTACTATGTTACATGTTTGAGTTGATACAGCTTTGCAGCTTCATTAAACAAATAACTAACCCTTACCTATTATCCTTAAGTTCAACACAGCAGAGGAAGATTTGCTAGAACCAACGACGCTGGCTTCCAGAGTTATGGTTAAGACGTTTGAAGCGTTTTGAATGTCGGCCGGTATTTGTTTTGTTATAGATATTACTACAGATTTCATCGAATACGATACAGCAAAATATTCCTTGAATCCTATAAAATATATTGTGATAATGAAAATGCCTACTTTTTCCAAATTTAATGCTCCCAAAGTCAAACAAAATAATATCTTCCATTCAAGTAAATGAAAGTTGAAAAAGTAACAAATTCATAGAAAATGTGCAATTTGATTGTGTGACTTTGTTTATTATATATTAATTTTATTTAACTTATTGAAATAAAAATAGGTTTTTCAGACATAAATTTTAGGTTTTTACCATTCGTTATTTCAACCGAAATATTTTCGTCCTCTTGGTCTGTAATAAGTGATATTTCATCATGTTTTATGACAGGAGAAGATCCTTTCATGTCATATGTTCCAGAGTAAAGTAAAGATGAGAATTCAACGGATCCGGTATCAACATCAGGCTCACCTAAAAAGAGAAAAATATTGTTGGAATTCTATACAGTAATACATCAGTCTTTCAAGAATGTGAATCCGGTAGTTTTAAATGGTTGAAAATGGACTTCAGCAACAAACTACCATATTACTACTGAACAAGTAAAATTAGATCAAGGTCGTAAATTGGAACTAAACATTATGTATGTTAACGGTAACTCTGAAAATATGAACATTAACTTTGACACCGTAACGGTAAAATCATCCTTACACTATTTTCAATATAAATTCGATAAATAGTCTATGGAATAATCGCAAAATTTCAGAAACTAACGAGAAGCTATCTCACACAAGGTGGGTAAAAATATTAGATTTCTTGCATCATCTTTATCATCCTTTCGGCTGTCATGAAATTAAGAATTAGACTTCTTATTTCATTCTAATATGAAACAGACGTGTAAAAGATATTTTGAATTCATTGATATTTTTCATCTTTGAATTGATTTTTGATCAAATATTAGTATTTCGAACTATCTTAGGCATCCTGATAATTTTGCCAAATTTATTGGAGAATTTTGTTTTAGTCTTTATCAGGGTTACGAGTATTTCAAAGGTACAGTTTTTGTGCCTATCAAATTTCTTGTTTGCGAAACCAATGAATTAATACACATAATTTTGTATATTCCTGACACAGAGTCCTAAGACGTACATTTGAATTTAAAGAAGTGTACTGACATTATTTAACTTCTATAAAGTGGAATGATTGTCCCAGAATGCATGCAAGACTTATTATAATCATATTTGACAGTTAGTTTTCAAAGTTCTTGAAAGACTTGGGAAGTTTAATAAATTTTTGTAAATTTCCATTTGAAAGTATCAATTGGAATTCCAGAAAAGTACTTCTGCGAGACTTGTGTCATAACCAATACAATCGCTCTTTGGTGTGAGATCTTGAATGCTTTGTTTTTGGGTCCTGGTTTCATCTAATTTTTATAATCGGATGCGAGATTCCTAAGCATCGACAAAGAAGCCGCGCTCTAGTACAACAAAACACCACATAACGACGATTATCCTCAAGCGAGCGTAATTATTACAAAAAATTGCAAATGTCTCACCGACAGTTTGGATAATATTTTTGCAATCCCCTTAGCCCACATATTTTTTTGAGAGACCGGACATACACTTGTTTTATGTGGATGACCTTTTAAACTTAATGCCTCTGCAGGAAATAATTTCCTTCAGTCCTTAAGCCTTATATAGTCTTATAGCGGGGGCAGATAAATTTGCAAGCTATTGAGAAGAGTACGTGGGGATTACGGATACGATGTGCAGTTCGTTGAAGGAAGTATCGTACAACTTTTGGATGCTGGAGAGACGTAACAAATCCAAAAATCACATTTTTCTACCAGAACTGAATCATTATTTTCGAGACGCGTTTCTCCAACCAAGTTGGCGTCTTCAAGAGACGAAACCCAGTAACAATTCTATCCGCACAAATTCCTGAAACGTTTTGTCCGGTAGAACAAAGTTCATCGGTAGAAACAAGCTTGTTATCGCTTCGATTTCAGTCTAATTTTTTTTAGTATTCAAGCGGACTCTGGTAAAACTTGATATCTCCATAGAAGTTTGCATCAGATGTACTTATGATTGTTCAAAGGTTAGAAAAACCTGAAATCAGTTTCATATTCACCACACCTTTTGGATTTGTGCATAAACATTATTTTGAAAGAACATATAAAAATTTCAAAACCAGAATCTCCGAACACGAAATGAGTTTATAATTAAAGAGAACCAATTCAATCCACGCATGCTATGTGTTGAAACGACCACAACTTCGACATAAACTACGAAAATGAAGAACAAAAATGAATCCTGCTGAAATTAACAGAAGTTAACAATCGAATTTCTTATTGAACTACCAACAAATTGATAACTCACTACTGTGAGGAGAGAAACATCATGAAAAATCTAGATTTAGTCGAATCAGTAGTGACAATAATTTTTCTTGCTCTGTACCTGCTGCATACCTGTTCTTTAAACTTCCTGTTTACGAATCAGCAATTTCTATTGATTTAGGTCGATAATTTGTAGAAATTGCATTGCAACTCAGTATTGAGTACCAGTCCAACTGAGGAAACTTGGTGTAGCTTATTGGAAATGAAGTCTTTATTGTGAAAATTTGTAATTATCATCAACAATTAACTCTGTTGGGTTGAAGATGAAAGATAACATTTCCATAATATAGTTTCATACTCCATTGTGATGTGATTTTTGTTGGATATGTCGATACTGATGCTATGAATCTTTTTTGTAAGATAAAAATTGGGTGACTCAACATACCCAATAGTTTTTCAGATTGTAGTAGACTAATTTGAAAAACAGGATTTTCCTTGCAAACATGTATGTTGATGTTGGAAAACGATATTGAATTAGAGGAAAAACGCAACAATGGAAACATTTCTCGATCAAGTTGTTTACAAGTGACGAAACTCTTATTTTGTGATATCAGATATTCATCCGTGATATATAGGATTAGAATTTTTATAAAAAGAAACAATTCTTCGTTCATGAAATTTGGAAACATACGTTCGTGTTTATAAAGGCTTATTGTTCAAAGGTTAAAAAAGCCTGGAATCAGTATCCTATCCAGTATCCAGAAGTATCTTACGACATTTGGATGCTGCAGAGCCGTGAACATACCTTTCACAAGAGGTAATCCCAATGACAAATCCAAAATGAGCGCTTTTCCCCATCAAAACTGAATCACTCTTTTTTCGACGCGCGTTTCACCAACCAAGGTGGCATCTCCAAGAGATGAAATCTAGTAACAAACTTTATTCTCTTAAATTACTGATACAAGTTGTGTCGGGTAGAACAAAGTTTGTAGGTAGAAACAAGATTGTTAATGCTTCAATGTTAGTCTACTTTTTTAGTAGTCAAGCGGAATCTGGTGGAGCTGCACTAGCTTGATACCTCTATAAGAGTTTGTATCAAATCTATTTATGATTGTTTTAAGTACTAAAACACCTGGAATCTGTTTTATTCACGAGATCTTTTGAACTTGTGTATAAACTTCAATTTGGAGTATAGAGTAGTACCAATCCAACTGAGGAACTCACGGTGTAGCGAATCGGGTTTGGAAATGAAGTCTATATTGTGAAGATTTGTACTTATTATCAAAAATAAACTATATTGGGCTGGAGATTAAAAGATACCATTTCCATATAGTTCCTCTGACTCCATTGTGATGTGATTTTTGTTGGATATGTCGATACTGATGATATGGAATGTTTTTGTAAGATCACAATGTAGTGACCCAATACACACATTTTCCAGATTGTGACGGACTGATTAAAAAAGGGCATTTCTATCTTTCTTGCAAAAATGTATGTTGATGAATCTGAGAAAAAACTCAACATTAGGCACATTTCTCGATCAAGTTGTTTACTAGTGACGAAACTCTTATTTTGTAATATCAAATATTTTCCAATGATAGGGTAAGATGTTTTCTAAAGAGAACAATTTCGCCTATATGAAATTCCGAAAGCATACCTTCATGTTCAGAAAGGCTTGACAATATATACCCCGATATTTTTGACTATTTTGTAGATATACAAGAATTGTGTTTTTCAGATCAGATTTGAAATGAGCTATAACCACATAACATATCGACCGGTAGTCAAATGAGTTTCATTCGACAACTAGATATTAACCCCTCACGAACTATAAACCTCAACTACAAACCTCTGGTGTCGATGAGCTAAATACTAACGAGGCTTTGCACCTGAAGTGCGATCGTTAGCACGGAATAAGGATTTTCATTATGACTCAGGTACAGATACAACTATTTTCACCCGAATGTCAAATTCAAATTACAGTGTCCTGACATATTGAATACTTCATTCGAAACGTTATAATACTTGTATACACACCATTGACGGCGATATTCAAAACAGCAGACGAACTTGTTTTAGAATCTTTTGTTGTGATCACCAGTTTGAGAGTGATAGTAGAGACACTCTTCAAAATATCATCAGGAATTTGGTTCAACAGTATAACTGTTACGGTGTTACTAGCGTAAGTGGCTTCGAAATATTTTGCGTATTCGGAATCTAGAACAGAAAAATGAAACAATTACTGCAGATATTATTTCAAAAATTTAAAAGCGTTACCGATCGTCAGAGGGGATTTAATGTTTTCTTCGAGTATATCGGTGATCACCTTGATTTCTTCTTTCACAATGAAGTTTATTTTTCCGTTCTCGATAGAGTAGTTTCCAGTGTAGAGCACGTTCGCGAAGGTCAAGGTAGTTGTTTCGTGAGAATCATCTGAAAGGTAATAGTGATATTGATAATAAATATACTTTGTCCAAAGAAATAATCTAATTGTTGAAACATGTAACGAAACAGCACACAACCAAATAATTTGACAGCGTTGCATCTTCACTAAATAAATAACTAATTCTTACCTATTATTTTTAAGTTCAGAACGGCAGAGGAAGATTTGTTAGAATCGACAATGTTGGCTTTTAGAATTATGGGTATGACATTCAATGTATTTTGAATGTCGGCCGGTATTGGTTTTGTTACAGATATTGATACAGACTTCTTCGAACAGTTTGCAGCAAAATATTCCTTGAAGCCTGCGAAATATATTATGATGATGAAAACGCTTATTTCTTTCGAATATATTTTTCCGAAAGTCAAACAAAATTATATCTTTCATTCAAGTAGATGAAAGTTGAAAAAGTAACAAAATTATAAGAATTGATTAATTCAATAGCTATTCATTGTATACTTATTTCAATAAATTGATGGATGTAGCCGTTACTACGTGGTAGGAGATCATAATGAAAAGAGAAATGAAAATTTCTATGTTTTTTACCAGTTTTATTTGTAACTGACGTTACTGCAGTTTCGTCCTATATGGACATTCTCAAACTTACACAATTTTATTGTATACAATATTATATGCAGTAACGTTAGTTACAAATAAAAGTGGTAAAAAACATACAAATTTTCATTTCCCTTTTCATTATACTAATTTCATTTGACCCATTGGAACAAAAAAATAGGTTTTTCAAACATAAATATTAGGTTTTTACCATTCGTTATTTCAACCAGAATATTTTCATCCTCTTGGTCTGTAGTAAGTGATATATTATCATATTTTATGACCGGAGAAGATCCTTTCATGTCGTATGTTCCAGAGTAAAATACATTTGAGAATTCAACGTATCCGGTTTCAATAGCAGGTTCACCTAAAAAGGAAGTATATTGTTGGAATTCTATATAGTATTTCATCAGTCCTTCGAAAATGCGACGCCGGTAGATTCAAATGGTTCAAAATTCATGAAAAATATTTTTTCTACATTTAGATATTTTCATCTGAAGATGAGACAAACGATAGAAAAAGGTGTGTTAGAATCTGAAATTAACTCGAAAAACAAATTACCATATTAGAACTGAACACGGGCGAAAAATCGCCCTTTCTTCTGATTTGCATCTGGGACAATTAGGTTGTCATGAGGTCAATCGATCAATTATCGATAACACCAAATTTGTATTTCTAGAATTAAAATTATTTTATAAAGAGGTTCATTATTTTAATTTCAGTAATTGGAACTATCTTTGGCATCCAGATAATTTTGTCAGAACATGTTGAGATTACTGAGAGGATGTGAAGCTTGTCGAAGAAAGTATATCCTACAACATTTGGACGCTGGAGAGACGTGAATATATATACCTTTCACAATAGGTAATCCCAATGACAAATCCAAAATGAGCGCTTTTCCCCATCAAAACTGAATCAAATCTTTGGCATCCAGATAATTTTGTCCAAATTTATTGGGGAATTTTGTTATAGTCTTCATCAGAATAACCCTGATGAATACTATGAAGAAACAATATTCGTGGTTATCAAAATAGTCAAAAAACCTTTTATACGCCTGTTACAGCAGTTTAAAAAAAGTAAATCTGAATTTTAAGACGTGTACTGATATTTTTGAATGTCTATAAAGGGGAATGATTGTTTCAGAATACATGCAAGACTTATTTTGATCATAGTTGACAATAAATTATCGGAGTGTTTGAAATACTTGTGAATTTTTTGTATTTTTGGAAATAAAAGTGGCTATTATATCGTCGTTAATTTGTAACATGATAATTTTGTACGTCTGCGAGCCTTGTATCATAACCAATACAATCGCTGTTTGGTATTGGATCTCGCATGCCCCGTTTTTGGGTCCTTGTTTCATCTTATTATTATAATCGGATGCTCGATTCTTAATAATGATAAGCAAGCAGAAATAAAGAAGTCGCACTCTTGCACCACAAGTCACCACATGACGATGATTATGCTTAAGCAGGCGTAACGATTACAAAAAATTTCAAATGTTTCACCGACAGTTTGGATAAAATTTTTGCGACATGCTTAGCCCACATATTTCTGCATATCATCATTGCCAATATTCGTAGCAGCCAGGATAATCAGAAATTGTAACTGTGTTACCTCGGGAGACCGGCATACACTTGTTTTATGTGAATCACCTTAAAATTTACGCCTCTTCAGAAAAGACAGTCGTTAAGACTAATACATAGCAGATAGATAAATTTGCAAGATTTTCAGAAGAACATGTTGAGATTACTGAGAGGATGTGAAGCTTGTCGAAGAAAGTATATCCTATAACATTTGGACGCTGGAAAGACGTGAATATACCTTTCACAATAGGTAATCCCAATGACAAATCCAAAATGAGCGCTTTTCCCCATCAAAACTGAATCACTCTTTTTTCGACGCGCGTTTCACCAACCAAGGTGGCATCTCCAAGAGATGAAATCTAGTAACAAACTTTATTCTCTTAAATTACTGATACAAGTTGTGTCGGGTAGAACAAAGTTTGTAGGTAGTCTACTTTTTTAGTAGTCAAGCGGAATCTGGTGGAGCTGCACTAGTTTGATACCTCCATTAGAGTTTGCATCAAATCTATTTGAACTTGTGTATAAACTTTAATTTGAAGTATAGAGTACCAATCCAACTGAGGAACTCACGGTGTAGCGAAACGCGTATTGGAAATAAAGTCTATATTGTGAAGATTTGTNAAAGTCAAACAAAATTATATCTTTCATTCAAGTAGATGAAAGTTGAAAAAGTAACAAAATTATAAGAATTGATTAATTCAATAGCTATTCATTGTATACTTATTTCAATAAATTGATGGATGTAGCCGTTACTACGTGGTAGGAGATCATAATGAAAAGAGAAATGAAAATTTCTATGTTTTTTACCAGTTTTATTTGTAACTGACGTTACTGCAGTTTCGTCCTATATGGACATTCTCAAACTTACACAATTTTATTGTATACAATATTATATGCAGTAACGTTAGTTACAAATGAAAGTGGTAAAAAACATAGAAATTTTCATTTCCCTTTTCATTATACTAACTTCATTTGACCCATTGGAACAAAAAAATAGGTTTTTCAAACATAAATATTAGGTTTTTACCATTCGTTATTTCAACCAGAATATTTTCATTCTCTTGGTCTGTAGTAAGTGATATATTATCATATTTTATGACCGGAGAAGATCCTTTCATGTCGTATGTTCCAGTGTAAAATACATTTGAGAATTCAACGTATCCGGTTTCAATATCAGGTTCACCTAAAAAGGAAGTATATTGTTGGAATTCTATATAGTATTTCATCAGTCCTTCGAAAATGCGACGCCGGTAGATTCAGATGGTTCAAAATTCATGAAAAATATTTGTTTTACATTTAGATATTTTCATCTGAAGATGAGACAATCTGAAATTAACTCGAAAAACAAATTACCATATTAGAACTGAACAAGGGCAAAAAATCGCCCTTTCTTCTGATTTGCATCTGGGACAATTAGGTTGTCATGAGGTCAATCGATCAATTATCGATAACACCAAATTTGTATTTCTAGAATTAAAATTATTTTATAAAGAGGTTCATTATTTGAATTTCAGGTATGTGAATAGACTTTCATATTTGATTATATTTGCTGATTTTTATGGAATAATCACAGTAATTGGAAATATCTTTGGCATCCAGATAATTTTGTCCAAATTTATTGGGGAATTTTGTTATGTACTGTTATTTTTGAATGTCTATAAAAAGGAATGATTGTTTCAGATTGCAAGACTTATTTTGATCATAGTTGACAATAAATTATCGGAGTGTTTGAAATACATGTGAATTTTTTGGATTTTTGGAAATGAAAGTGGCTATTATATCGTCGTTAATTTGTAACGTGACAATTTTGTACGTCTGCGAGCCTTGTATCATAACCAATACAATCGCTGTTTGGTATTGGATCTCGCATGCCCCGTTTTTGGGTCCCTGTTTCATCTTATTATTATAATCGGATGCTCGATTGTTAATAATGATAAGCAAGCAGAAATAAAGAAGTCGCACTCTTGCACCACAAGTCACCACATGACGATGATTATGCTTAAGCAGGCGTAACGATTACAAAAAATTTCAAATGTTTCACCGACAGTTTGGATAAAATTTTTGCGACATGCTTAGCCCACATATTTCTGCATATCATCATTGCCAATATTCGTAGCAGCCAGGATAATCAGAAGTTGTAACTGTGTTACCTCGGGAGACCGGCATACACTTGTTTTATGTGAATCACCTTAAAATTTACGCCTCTGCAGAAAAGACAGTCGTTAAGACTAATACATAGCAGACAGATAAATTTGCAAGATTTTCAGAAGAACATGTTGAGATTACTGAGAGGATGTGAAGCTTGTCGAAGAAAGTATATCCTACAACATTTGGACGCTGGAGAGACGTGAATATATATACCTTCCACAATAGGTAATCCCAATGACAAATCCAAAATGAGCGCTTTTCCCCATCAAAACTGAATCATTCTTTTTTCGACGCGCGTTTCACCAACCAAGGTGGCATCTCCAAGAGATGAAATCTAGTAACAAACTTTATCCTCTTAAATTACTGATACAAGTTGTGTCGGGTAGAACAAAGTTTGTAGGTAGTCTACTTTTTTAGTAGTCAAGCGGAATCTGGTGGAGCTGCACTAGTTTGATACCTCCATTAGAGTTTGCATCAAATCTATTTGAACTTGTGTATAAACTTTAATTTGAAGTATAGAGTACCAATCCAACTGAGGAACTCACGGTGTAGCGAAACGCGTATTGGAAATAAAGTCTATATTGTGAAGATTTGTACTTATCATAAAAAATAAACTATATTGGGCTGGAGATTTAAAGAAACCATTTCCATATAGTTCCTCTGACTCCATTGTGATGTGATTTTTGTTGGATGTGTCGATACTGATGATATCGAACGTTTTTGTAAGATCACAATGTAGTGACCCAATACACACGTTTTCCATATTCTGGTGGACTGATAAAAAGACATTCTTTATTTTCCTTGCAAAAATGTATGTTGATGAATTTGAGGAAAAACTCAACATTAGACACATTTATCGATTAAGTCGTTTACTAGTGACGAAACTCTCATTTTGTAATATCAAATATTTCCCAATGATAGGGTAAGATGTTTTCTAAAGGGAACAATTTCGCTTACATGAAATTCCGAAAACATACCTTCATGTTTGGAAAGGCTTGACAATATATACCCCGATATTTTTGAGTACTTTGCAGATATACTACTAATGTGTTTTTCATATCAGGTTTGAAATGAGGTATAACCACATAACATATCGACCAGTAGTCAGATGAGTTTCATTCGACAACTAACTATAAAGCTATATATGACTATAAAGATAAAGATTGTTAGCATCCACAATCGTCTTCGGGTAATGTCATCAGGTGTTTTTGCTTAATATAATTGTTATTTACAGCTATTTATTTTTTTCTTTTTTAGTTGTTTCAGGGATTTCAAATCATTTTATATATTAGACAATGAATGGAAGATCGAACTAGTGAAATTCATCATGAAACATTGTCAATCACCTTCAATCAAATAACAGTGTCCTGACATATTGAATACTTCATTCGAAACGTTATAATACTTGTATAGTTACCATTGACGGCGATATTCAAAACAGCAGACGAACTCATTTTAGAATCTTTCGTTGTGATCACCAGTTTAAGAGTGATAGTAGAGACACCTTTCAAAATATCATCAGGAATTTGGTGCAACGGTGTAACTGTTACGGTTTTACTAGCGTACGTGGCTTCGAAATATTTTGCGTATTCGGAATCTACAACAGAAAAATGAAACAATTACTGCAGATATCATTTCAAAAATTTAAAAGCGTTACCAATCGTCAGAGGGGATTCAATGTTTTTGTCGAGTATATCGGTGATCACCTGAATTTTTTCTTTCACATTGAAGTTTATTTTTCCGTTTTCGTTAGAGTAGTTACCAGTGTAGAGCACCTCCGCGAAGGACAAGGTAGTTGTGTCGTGAGAATCATCTGAAAAATATTAATATATATACTTTGCCCAAACAAATGATATTATTGTTGAAACATGTAAAGAAACATAGCAGAGAAGTAATTTGTCAGATTTGTTTAAAAATACATTTTTCCGTTGAGCAGCTGTCCCACACCTACAAACGACAACTCTCAAAACTTGAAACTTGTGTGAACTGAGGACTAACAAAGTCTTACCTTTCAACGTGTGATTCCTAACACGAATGATAGCACATTAAGTTATATACATATACAACAAAATAATTTGACAGCGTTGCAGCTTCACTAAATAAATAATTCTTACCTATTATTTTTAAGTTCAGAACGGCAGAAGAAGATTTGCTAGAATTCACTATGCTGGCTTCTAGAGTTATGGGTATGACGTATAAAGTATTCGAAATGTTGGCCGGTATTGGTTTTGTTACAGATATTGATACATACTCCTTCGAATAGTTTGCAGAGAAATATTCCTTGAAGCCTGGGAAATATATTATGATTATTTTTTTCGAATAGAATTTTCCGAAAGTCAAACAAAATTGTATCTTTCATGCAAGTAGGTGAAAGTTGAAAACGTAGGTGAAGTAGATGATAGTTGATTAATCAAATTGTGTGACATTGTTTATTGTATACTGATTTCATTTGACTCATTGGAATGGAAATAGGTTTTTCAGACATAAATATTAGGTTTTTACCATTCGTTATCTCAACCAGAATATTTTTGTCTTCTTGATCTGTAAAAAGTGATATTTTATCGTGTTGTATGACCGGAGATGATCCATTTATGTCGTATGTTCCATAGTAAAGTAAATCTGAGAATTCAATGGATCCGGTATCAACATCAGGTTCACCTAAAAAGAAAAAAACATTGTTGGAATTCTCCATAGTATTTCGTCAGTCCTTCAAGAAAGTGAATCCGGTAGTTTCAAATGATTCAAAATTCATGTCAAATATTTCTTTTTATGTAGACATTTTAATCTGAAGGTAAGACAAACAATGAAGCTTGACCAACAAATTACCATATTAGAACTGAATGAGTGAAACTTGTTAGAGGTCTTCCGCAAGGTTCTAATTTGGAACTGAACATTATGCATGTTAACTTGTTTATTAACGGTAACTCATTATTATCAGTAAATGATTTAATGAATATTTTGAATCAATAAATAGGTCAATATAGCTACCACATGCATAAATGAGAGACCAAGGTTATGTCTTATTTTGGAGTTGTGTTACATTAACCTCCCATTGAACCAATATTTCTTTCATCGATTTTACATGCCCAAAAAAATAACTTCTATTTAAAGGACGGAGAATCACCCCCTCTTCTGATTTGCACCTAGGATAATAAGGTTGTTATGAGGTATATCGATTAATTATCGATAATGCCAATTATGTGATTTTTAAATGGAAATTGTTCATTATCTAATCCTCAGGTATGTGAATAGACTTATATATATGACTGTATTTGCAAATTTTCATGGAATAATCACAGAACTTCAGAAATTGACAAGAAACCTTCTCACACAAGGTGGGTATAATATGATTTCCTTCATTATTTTTACCACCCTTTAGGCTTTCATGAAATTAGGTATTAGACATCCGGTTTCATTCAAATATCAAACAGTGGTGTTCAAGACATTTTGAATTTTTATTTGATGGCCTTCATTGAAGTAATGAACCTTCCTTTGATGTTTTTAAAGTTCACTAACAGTTTTATTTTTTATAGTTGATTCATATAAATTTCCAAACAATTTGAAATTGGATTATTCTTGTCAGTATGTATTACATTGGAATGGAAATTATTGAAACTTTTTGTTTTATGATTAAGCACTGTCAAGTATTTAAAGAATTGAATATTTCTCTTTAGGAAGGTTTTTCGTCATTTCATATATGAACGTGGCTTTTTCAAAGAATATTCAATGAAAACGCCCATTTTTTTGATAATACTTTCATAGCTTTGTTCATCGAATAATAAATTATATTTTTTTGTCTTTTGGAGCAGAATGGCGAAATTGTGATAAAATATCTAATTCGAGAGATGATTCATAATACTCATCATTATGAATTATAATTTTTATATGAGTATTTGGAAATTTTTCTGGTTGCTCCTTCTGATGATATAATTGAATCTTCAGTTTTGAATAAGTGACTTTCGAAATCAAAATCTTCGCCAATTATTAGGCCTTGGTTGATATATTTGTACTTGATTTTCAATATTAAGTACATTATTGTTCATATTTCTATTGTGAACTGTTTCCTGTAACTTTATTTCTTGATCTTTTCTATGTTACCGTTTATGTTTCTTTCTGAATAGTTTTCAGTTTTTTCGCAATGAAATAGTGAAAGATATACTGCAACTGAGAGGTGATCACTCATCAAACCTTCTATTTCAATATCATTAATGTATAGTAGATAGAAAATCAGAAAAAAACTGAACATTGTGTAACACCACAAGTTGAAACTACTTCAGTACTTTCACAATTATTGATTACTATACACTGATTTTAGTTTCAAAAATCATTCGTAAGAACGATCTCTCACTAGTGAATTGGATAATATTAGTGAAATTGTATGGTTCAGTAAATCGAAGGTTTTTTTATATCTGAAAATATAACAACACCATAATCACCTATATCTTTGAGTAATCATTCATATACAGTGCGAGTCTCTAACATGGAACAAATTCACTAAATCAAAGGTATTGTTTCTTTCGGAAATATGCTCGGACACGTCGAGTAGTATTTTAAATTGCCTGTATTTTAATGCGAAAAAAATTATACAGTATGTCTTAAATATGAGATATGACGTCATCGATAATTTTTTTAAATGACAACCCTGTTTTTAAATGACTTTCATTAAAGGGTTCAACAAGTTGCACATGTCTGCCAAGTTTCAATTTTTTACTCCTTGTCCTTTAAAAGATATTTAAGAAACATAATCTAATTCAAAAAATGAATTCAATGCAATGGTCTTTCTTTAACAAGTGTTCAGAATGTTGTCCATTTACTAACTGACAATACCCTAAACGTAACCGAAACTCGTTTTGAACATTTCTGATTACTTCGTAAGAAATTAGCCTACACTCCTGTCTTATTCGTTCTTTCAAATCCTCAATATTTGCCGGTTTGGTCTTAAAAACTTTGCTCTTCAAGTAACCCCATGAAAAAGTCCAAAGGTGTTAAATCCGTAGACCTAGGTGGCCATTCATAGGGTCCTATTCTGCCAATCCATCTGCCTGGAAATACATCATTCAGGTACTCACGGACAGGTCTTGCAAAATGACGAGGCGCGCCGTCCTGTTGAAACCAGATGTTTCTATTAATTTAGTAAATTTGTTCCATGTTAGAGACTCGCACTGTATACATTATTCATCAGAATGAGTGTTTGAATTTGATTGAAACGTATGTTGTGATTTATTGAAACCAATATCAATATTTATAAAATTATTCAATTGAGATTCCAATATCTTCACAAATGTTTTTGCAAATGAATTTGAGAGAGAGCAATTTTTCAATATGTTCAAATCTAACCTTATTCAAATCTGTTTTGGAACTAATTGAAGTTTGAGGTGGAGTTGTTTTTGTATAGACAAATATTTCAGATATATGGAAGAATGAATTCAAAACCTAGTGCTGTTGAAGCCAACCAACCTTACTGCGAGTGGATTTTAAAAAGTTTGATGTGTTTTATTTGGAAAGTTTGCAATATCTAATACTGAAAAAGCCGAAAATTCTGGCGGTATTATCTTTGAGTCATATACATAATTTAGACATAATAAAGTCATATCAGATATTGAATAAAAAAAAAATGTTGTTCAATATATGTTTTTCCGTTAAACAGCCGTCGCACCCCTACGAACGACAACCCCCAGAAGCCGAAACTTGTGCGAGCTAAGAACTAACGAGGTCTTAACTTTTGACGTGTGATCCCTAACACAAAATGAAAAGATACTCACAATAATTGAGAAACTACTATCGAAAACATATCGACGAGTAGTCGAATGAGTTTTATTCGACAAACAGCTGTCGACCCCTATCGAACTACAAACCTCTGAAGTGAAACTTGTGTGAGCTGAAGATTAAAGAGACCCTACCCCTGAAATGCTGTGCCTAGCACGAGATGAGAATCTAAGCCTAGAATACATAAAAACTATTTTCGACCCGAATTCAAATTTAAGTTGAAATTGACTGACATATTCAAAACTTGCTTCGTTTCGATATGATCATTATATACACACCATTGACAGCGATATTCAGAACAGCAGACGAACTCTTTTTAGAATCTTTCGTTGTGATCACCAGTTTGAGAGCGATAGTAGAGACACCTTTCAAAATATCATCAGGAATTTGGTGCAACGGTGTAACTGTTACGGTTTTACTAGCGTATGTGGCTTCGAAATATTTTGCGTATTCGGANGTATGGTGAGCTTTATTGAATTGAACACTCATAACGTCATTAATTCATGAATTATTCGCGTAAATTTGAAAGTACGATCTCATTCATTCGAAGTAATTAATTCGATCTGTTAACTTATTATTATGGATAATGTTTTTGATTTCCATCAAGTAACGGGTCAGTGTATTCATATTTTACTTTACTTACCTTCCACTATTAAATTCAAAACCGCATTTGCTGTATGTACGGTATTTTTTATTCTTGCTTCCAACACAAGAGGTATGATGGTCAAAATTAAATCAGGTTTCAATACATCTGGTCCTTCTTTTATGGTTATATATTTATTGGAGTATGATAGAGTGAAGTAGTCACTGTATTCTGAAATAGAATGAATTGTCAATAACTGCTCGGATAGAACATTACGTGAAAAAATTTGGAGAGCTCATGTCTTACCATTTTTAATGGATACTTCAATGTTACCATCGATCTGATTGGTGGAAATGAAAATGTCATCAGCGGATATTATACTTTGTCCTCTGTTATATCTTCCTTCGTAATAGTTTTTACTGAATGATATAGTGCTCTTATCGTCAGGGTTATTATCTGTTAGAATAGAAAAGAAATATCATTATAAGAAAGTCGCTTAGAAAATGAAATTAGTAGAAGAATAGTTCTTCTATCTAACCATACAAAATTTGGACGAATGCAACAATATTGGGTTAGTGTATTCGTGTCTGAAAAGGATGGATGGACAACTTACAGAGTTGTGCATCTTGCCAATTTCATAAAACAGACTCATGCGTAGCTGACACCAAAAGAAAAAGCACTCTGGAAATGACCTCTTACTTAATGCCTTCAACAGTCAACTACCTTATATAGTACAGTCTCAAAGTTGAATAGAGAAGACTGGATCTTTTGGCAGAAGAAAATACTATGAACAGAAAACTGTTGGTTCACAAGTGGATCAAAAACACCTCCAGCTTTCTGTGCAGATGTATACACTGGAAGATTCAGGGTAGATATATAAATTTGCCTAGGCACCTGTGCGACCATGTGGACAGATTCGACGAAACCAACTCACACCTAAATCGTTGAAGTTGCTAGTGAACTGCCAAGAAAGGTCTTCCTCAATAGGATTCCTGGCCAAACCAGCCTGGAATGTAATGAAGCTGCTAATTACTTTGCAATGGAGGGCACTGCTGCGATTTCATTGAATCAGAATCTGTCATTGGCATCGTTCAGACTTTGTTGAGTAAAAATTAAATAGCAGGTGTGCAAGATGATATTCAGACTTTTAGCTAAATCTACCAAGTTTCGCCCATTACAAAGCATTCATATATTCCTCGAATCATGTCACCAAAAAATTCTTAGATTTCAGCAAGGGTGAAGACTTTCGTGGCTTGAATAGACCGGTTATCTTATCACATAATCACAATATTGTGAAAAATGTATGTTGAATTCACCTAAGCCAATTCAAGAAAAAAATGTATATCAATGAATAAGGCGACACACAGATATTCCCTAAATTACAGATAAATTCTGAACATTTATTGACGAAAGTATTCCAAAAATGCTCAGACAGGTTGATTTTTATTTTCAAATTGTCATTTGGGCATGTAGCTTTCAACTCTTCAACTATTCCTTCTCGAGGGGTGGCAATCTCAACTTTAGATATTTGAATGTGAATATACTCAATTTTTTTATGTAATAATTTAAATAATGTTTCTCAAAATCAGATGATAAATAAAAATGGATGAGCCTAGATACGTATTAATGATCCACCACCAGACGGCATAGCTGGACTCAATGCTCTTTTGATGTATCAGACAGTCTATTTAGATCTTCATTATTTGTGGTATTGCAAATATCTCTTGTAGCGAACTGTCATTTCTCTAAACATAGAAACTTCTTTTAAATAATGTGCGGCAATTTTGAATTCCAGATAAGCCAGTTTATTTTTATTATCTTTCCATTGGCCTTCATCTTGATATTTTGAATCAAACGAAGAAGCATTAGAATTGTCTATTTTTTTATTCATGCCGTCTTCAAGATATCCTATTATCAACTCGTAAAAACGATTTCGGGTCATAGTTTGAACTATGTATGGCTTTCAAGAAACATTTTCATGAAATGCATTAAAATAATGAATTGAATCATACAGATTTGAAAGTGAAATATCCATGATCAATGCTTCATATAATATATACTCAATGAACTTTGAAAATCTTGCACACACTGAACAAGGAATATGTACATGTAAAGGACAATCAACTTTCCGATGAAACTTTTGCTATCTGGCAGAGGGGTTACATAAAACAAATATCGATTCCTTCTTGTCTTCTATCTATTACTTTATCTCAAACTAGTTTTGCGGAGCGACAAATCACAGCTTATATAAAAACAAACAATTATATGTCATTTTAATGATGCAGAAAAATCCACAATCAACCCTTCTGGAGGTCGCTTTACATATTGATACGTCAATAATTACAATTGGTACAAAATATTCAGATGACAATTTTGACAAATAGAATTTTGCGAGGCACTAATGAAACATAAATCCTTGCTCGATTGAAAATATTGCCTATTCTTATTACTTTGGTGGCAACTGAGCAGTTTGAAATAAATTTTAGATGATGGAAGTGCATACGCAACATCCCCCAAAGCCTAATGAGGGTTGCTATTGTGACTTCTCGAATTATTGTTTCACACATTTTCGACAGAACAAAATGAAAACGCTATTATATTGAATTGATATTGTTTCCGAGTGCCCCCGACAATAAAATTTGGTTATATGTCTCCATATTATTCACGTCTACATCGGGGATATTTTGATGAAATATTTTCCAATCGGTGCATTGGCTGATGCCTATTGAATGGCCAGTAAAATCACCAGGTTAAACATCGTCAAATTTTTTCTTCTTGAGTTCCCCATTCTGATACATATGGAGAGCGTTTAAAAAAATTATTCGTAAAGAAATCCGCTCAGTTACTTCATAAATAATAAAAAATCTTTAACAAGCCTTTTTCATACATAAGGGAATTAATTGTCTGCTCTTATTGGACTGCAATTTGAACATTCAATATGATTTGATGATTTTTCAGTGTGTTATACCTATATTCAATCATTTTTCAATTTATTTGAATATATTTTGATGGAAATCTCTGTCATTTATTCACTGATTTTGATAAACTTAATTTATGTCGCATTCAGTAGCAATTTTCAAAATTAGGTTGCCACCTCGTTGAATATGAAGGGAAGGATAAAATTGAAAATTTCCAGTTAAAAATCGACCTGCTAGTGAATTTTTAGGAATTATTTTCAATAAGATTTTCAATGAATTATCCGTTACTTTTGGAAACTACTCTACATTGTTCATAATCAAGAAATACAAGCTCATAAGATCTCATAAGAACTTGTATTTCTCGAAATAATTCAGGAAAGGATATCACACATTCATATCATGTTTCAAATCATACAGAAAAAAATACAGAAGGTGGTTGAAATATGTTATTTCAACTTATGTTCGAGATACTGGTTATTGAAAAACTCACAAGAAATTTCTATATTGACTACAGCATTCGCTCTATCAGGTTTTCCTATGATGGCGATCTCCAAAGTTAAAGGTATGAGAGACAACGTCTTCAATATTTCTTCGGGCAGCTCAGTTTTGGACTTTATAACAACCTCTTTATTGATGTAATGTGCGTCAAAGTATTCTTTGTAGGCTGGATCTGTGAATTGAAATGATCAATTAGGAAATTAAAAAATAATAATGAATGACTAGTTTGATCCAGAATTCTGCAAGGTGAATGTTACATTTTTGAAAATCAAATCATGTTTCAAAGAGTTGATGAGATCGCATATTTGATAGCATTGAACCTGTGGAAGAGTATGTACATATTATGTCAATTATAATAATGGATACACATAATGCATAACAATTCAATTTTTTTTAAAAAAACCTTGCTTACATTAAAAAACAATATTATTGTTAACCACAAATATAAAACAAATATTTTCCTGATGTAAATTTTTGTTGGCAATATATTCACATGAAATTGAACCTATGAAAAATACTATTTTTTATCGAAGAGGGAGAAATCAAATATGTTTTGATGGAATTTTGAATAAAACTCGTTCAAGAAGGATGTTGTTATCAAAAGTTGACATAATCGGTTCACATTTATTTCCTTAACATGCCGTCTGCAACAATACAAACATATACATATCTAGAGGTTTTCATACCTATGACTTAACTATAACAAAAAAAAACATAAAAAAATAATATCCTCGATAATGATGATATCATATGAACCAAATAGCCAAAAGATGCAAATCCATTCAGATTATATCAATTGAAGTTTTCAAATAAGCTTATTTGATAAAAAAATCTTTTCAGCTTGATGGAATATGATTCACCATAAATTTTCATAGAGACATCTTTTTCGAGTATCATAGAAGCGATGTATTCAATATGTGGTTGAGTAATAATTGGGAACGGAAAAAAATCATAGATTTCCTCAATGTTGTAATCAGTATATTTACTGAACTTTTTTTTCAGGAAATTTTTTCGTTTTTTAAGTTTTTTTGTATGACAATGAAGAAGTAGAAAGTCGAAAAGATTTTTTCCAAAAACTACTTTCTCGTAAAAGATATTCTCTTTTCAATATAAACCAAGGTATTTAATTTCAGACAAAACTTAAATTATTTTATCATTAATGCTTACATTTATCAAACGACTACTTAGAATACGTGATGCGTTATAAACTTTCATTTCATTTTGTAGAATATGAAAAGAATACAATTCATTTCGATCTGTTGAAACGACGGCTCGAATAACTTCCAAACAATTTCAATATAGTTCAATGTAGTAAACAGTGCGGACGTAAATAGTCCCCTTCCTCCTAACCCTCGAACGGTGGAAGGTATCGGATCAAATTTTTTGGGAAATGGATTCATTTTTATTACTTTTTGATGAAAAAGACAATAGTGTGACATTATTACATGTCACTATCAACTTGTTTTTGAAATGGAACGAGGAATCTTGTGAAAATTCGTATGAAAAGTATTCCAATTCTCTATTTGATGACCTTCACTTCTCCGAATTTTGATAACGGGTTGCGGAGTAAATGTTTGAATTCTGGAATAGGAATTTCGTAACTTTGCTATCCTTTGTCCGATTTTTTGAAATGAATATTCAATGGAAAGATAAATAATCAGTAACAATTTTTACAATAGATGAATGTTTCAAAGGTATGAAGCGTCAGCATTTAATTTCATTTTAGTTGTTATATATCAAATATATAGAAAAATTATTTGGGCAGATGTTCAAAATGTTCTCTTTGAATATCTAGAGTAATGCTAGTACAAGTTTCGGTAATTCTTTCTCTTAGTTCCCGTATTGTCCAGGTTGTGATACATGAACTTTCGATTTGCCAAATAGCTACAAAAAAAAGAGAAGAGTCAAATCCGGTGAACGAGCAGGCCAATCCACATGTATGGGTATGTCTGATCCAACCAATCCCTCACAGGCCTACTATCCTGTTGGAAAACGACTGGTCAGACATTTGTTTGTTCAGAAGTCTGAGTGTTATCCTCTGAAAAAATATGTGGGTTTATGTCTGACCAATATCGCCTATTTTGGCGGTTGACATTTTCGATTGAGAAAAAAGCGCATTCCTCAATAAAATAAATACAAATACTTTTTATGTATTCTTCTGCAAGGATCGTCTTCATTTAATTCATGTAATATCTTTATAGGAGTAAAAGTTATGTCTTTGTAGGTATTTTTTGATGGTTGGTTCTTGGCTGTTGTCGTGGACTGGCGTTAATGAAGATTGATTCTCTTGTTTCCTTTCAAGATCTGACGCGAACCATTTTTATAAATTTGGGAGAAATGGATGAACATTACTCTCTGAATTCTTATCTACATAGTCGATCACAAAAAATCCTGAATCGGATTGAAAACAGAAATGTATTTCTTCTTTTATCACATATACGTTTCAATTCCGTGAATAATTTCTTTCTCTCACATTACAAACTTTGCGTAACCTGTGATAACTAACTTTGGAGTTGTTTCAATCCTTTTTTGGTTGCAAAGTTACGAATTATCATTTTTGCTTATCTTCAATTCATACACAAATAACTTCGCAACCGTTAATCCAAATTCAAAACAGGTGAGGTGGTTCTATAGGGAACTGAAATACCTTTGCAGCGAAAGGTCACAAAATCCTTTTTTGAATTGAAAAAGAAAAGATTATAGCGCCTTCTCTGCGACGGGTGATGTCACATCATTGAATTCTTTATTAAAAAGTATTGAAAATGATTCTTTTCTGTACAAATTTTACCCGACTTCAATATCTTGTCCAGTTCGAAAGTTAAGAGAGAGGGGGACTGTTTAAGTTCGTATTGTAAATAGAAATATTTTATAATTTGCCTGGAACAAGTACTTTTGGTTGAATCATCTTATAATATTCCTATGCCTACCTGATGATATCATGACAAAAACTTCCTCAACAGGAGCAGAGGTGGTGACTTGGATGGGTTCAACAGTGAATGTTGTATTTCCATCAGCGACTTTGTATGTCCCATTATAAACAATCTTTGAGAAATGTATATCACGATTTATCACAATGGCTGGTAGATTAATAACGAGAGTAGCGTGAGTTTTGTAACCATCTAAGTCAGCTTCCAAAGTCAGAATCAAGCTTGTTCGGTCCTCTAGGACTGATTGTGGCAAAGGAGTTGTAACGTGAATTTGATAACGTCCGATAGATTCTTCTTTCAAGGTGAAATACTTGTCGAAACTGTCTGGGCCTGAAAAAGGTATCAAGTCTACAATAGTATTTATTAGTTTGTGGATAATTCCTAGCGAACCTGAGTGAATACATTTGAGTTCATTTCAAATATGTTTTAATAACATAAAAATGATTTGATGAAAGTTTGATATCTTCATTAGAGGCAATACTTGAGTCATTTCCTTTACATTTCACTCAGAACTGTTATTTCTTACTATGCAGTCAAGAGCTATTACTGAAATACAAACAATTGAAACATGTATCCAATACGGCAAAAATCCAGCAGATGATGGTTTGAATCGGTGATGTTACGTGTGCCAAATTGGTACGGTTGAAAAAAAGCAAGAGTACTTCGTCTCTACTAGCCGTAACGCAGAGTTTTCGCGTTTACGTTACGGAACATTCATTGCAAATGGAGACGCGCATAATGGAACCACGTGTCGAAGAGGTACGGATAAAATGCAACAGTACTTCTTCACTAGCAGTAACGTAACTTTCTCGTGTTCACGTTGCGGGTTATTTGTTGTAGATGATTACGTGCCTTAAGAGTATGCGTGTCGAGGTGATACAGCTGAAGTGCAACAGTACTTCATTATCCGTAACATAACATGTTCGAGATTAAGTTACGGACCATGTGTTACACATGAATACGCCCCTTACAGGTACGCGTGTCAGAGTGGTATGGATAAAATGCAACAGTACTCCTTCTTCACTAGCCGTAACGTAAACTAGCCGCGTTCAAATTATGAGCCAATTATTGCAAATGGACACGCACCTCATGGATACACGTGTCAAAGGGATACGTATAAAATGCAACAATACTCTGTCTTCACTAGCCGTGACGTAACGTAACGTTTCAGCATTTACGTTACGGACCATTCATTGCAAATCATGGATACACATGTCAAAGGGGTACGGTTGAGATGCAACAGAACTTCGTCTCCACTAACCGTACCGTAATGTCTGCGTATTTATGTTACGGGCCATTCGTTGCAAATGGATACGCGCCTCCTAGATAGGCGTGTCGAAGTGGTACGGATAAAATGCAACAGTACCTCGTCTCTACTAGCCGTGATGTAACGTATTGTGAGGTACATTACGGGTGGGCTCTTATGAATGGATACACGCTTTTATAGTGTCTGTTCAAATTCGACATGTTAATCAAATAAGAAGGTGATATGAATTTATTGATGTTTTGAAGCTTCATACCTCCTCATCACGGATAGAATGATTTTCAAAAGTACCTACTTGAAACCATTTTCATTAATGAACATGTGGACTAATACTTTCACTTGAAGGATTGAGGGTTTTGCAATAGCTTTCGGGTAAAAAATTGTCTCTCTCAATTTTTGTGAAACGTACATCCTTGGAGTACGTTTTCGTCACCCCTGTATGTAATGTAATATCACTGTTTGTTTTTGTGTTTCTGCAACTTACTTTGCAACGTCACTTGAACATTTTTTAAGTCTGCCTTTGAAGTAATTTCGATAGTTTTTTCCAAATTTACTATTGGTTTTCCTTCAGTTTCATTATAAGTGCCTTCGTAAGAGAACTGTGAGAATTCAAGTACCGGTTTAGGATTGTTTTTAGCTGGTAAATATATGATAACCGTCGCTCTTCCAAAGCTTCCCTCTTCAGTATCTTCTGCTGTCAAAGTGAGGATGAATTCTGTCTTATTGTCAAGTTGTTCTTCTGAGAATGGAGCTAGTAAATTGAAACTCCAAACATTTTTGTTATGATCATAATGATAACCCAAGTTCTTCTCAAACACTAAAAAAGATAAAAAAACGATTTTTTTGTGGTTTAGATATAATTGCGTGTTTTATTCTGCAAAGTCTTAACAAAAACAGTTGTAAATTCTTTACCCACAAAAAAAGAAACTATGAAAGTAATATTACATAGAGGATGACCTTTTGTTTGATGTACATAACAAATATTTTGCAGTTTCTGTTTCATTTCAAATATTTCATTCATAATTTCGATCAGCTTTTAAATTGACGATATTTTAGAAATAAAAGAAAAATGACGGCACCCCAATTGAGATTATTCTAGAAAAAATGTAATACAGCAAATTGAAATTGTACGTTGTCAGTCAACAGAAGAATATGAAAATGATTTTTAAATCACAACACAACGATCTTCTCAAGCAACATTTCTAATGGAAATAGTCTTTTCTATATTTCCGCTTATAGACATAGGTGTACAAAAAATCTGCTGGACGCATTGAATTTGGTTCATGGTATTGGGGTACTGCAACTTGAAATTTACATCTGATATGAATATGAAGGTCGAAGGAATTTCGGTATGGTATAACTTATCCCAACAATGACCATTTCTATGTCTGGATTCTATGTCTTTGTTTTTTTTACGTTCATATCTTTGTCTATATTTATATCTGTATGTCGATATGGGTCTATGTTTTTTTATGTATTTGTGTCTCCATTTGTATATCTGTCTGTATTTTGAAATTTCTATCACAACTGTCACAACTATAGGTAAAAATGTGTTGAATTCACGTTCAGCGAGATTGTGTCACCCCCAGCCAAAGAAAATAGTTTTCGATTGATTATTGACAGTTATGTCGATGGATATAGGCCGAGATAGTACATGCTGGATATGCTAGCAGCAAGTGCATTGGGGTCTTAGGCACCTCGCAGTGGGCCCTGCACCTAGTGTCAGAAACCTCTATATCGTTAACGTACTACGGTAGATCAAAGTGTTGAAGATGCCATCCCGGTAGACTGACTTCAAGCAACATGATCTGAGGAAAGAAACACGTCAGGTGCTCTGATAAGCCAAGGTCTTCAATGCTTTTGAAAAAGACCTCAAGCTTATGCTTTTGTTATCGCATGAGTGAAGTGATCTCTGCGACTTTTCTGAGTGCGTTTTGCTGACAAAGTTGGGATCATCTCGTTCAGTGTTGCGAACCATGCAAAGAAGACGATCCGAACTCCTGATGACTTAACAGGCTCCACCCAGTATCATTCTGTGATGCAGACACTGTAAACTCATTTTTATCATTATTACTACTATTGTTATAATTATCCTTATAATTTTGATACAGAATTGCGTCCCTTGACATTGTTTTCTGTGTCAATTTCACTTGGTGACTGTCACTCAAGATATACAATCTCTTTCCACTGAAAATGCGCATCAGCAGTTAATGTTCTGTCATGCAAATGGAAAGAAGAAACAAGTTATGTAACAGCAAATTTAGATTTTTGATCTTGTCCAGTGATTCGTTGATTTATAATTGAAATATGGTTGGAGACAATATGGATCCACAGTTATTCGAAACATTTTTCTTGTCCTTTTGAAAAAAGAATTTGAAGTTGTCAGATCGCGGAATACAAAATGGGCGTGTGGTCAAAGTCTAGTGCATTTTGGTGTAGTTCAAAGTTTTGTGATTAGTGAAAAAGTTGTTTTTTTTGTGATACTAGGTCAGTTATTCAAGAATTAACGAAAAAAACTTAATAATATCATGCTTGATTTCTTCTACAGAATTCCCTAGAAATATGTATTATATACATTGCACTAAAGGTTACCCTGCATCTTAGCACTGGTGAAATTTTTTTCCCTAGTTTTCAGATTTTCGAAAATGCAACTGTTCATTACACCTGCCTGTTTTGGTTTTTACTCACCTCCTATCCCTAGCAGCAAATGTTCAGAATGTTCTCTGTTGGTAATTACAAAATCTTCCATGGTTAGCTTTGCAGTGCCATCATCAATCTTATAACTTCCTTCGTAAAAGGCTTTAGAAAACTGTGGAGGATTCTTTTCGGGTAACGTTACCAACAGTGTCGATTTTCCTACAGCAGTGTTGCCAGTTTGTGTCGCAGTAAGCGTAATTACTAGATTCTGCTTGTCTCTTGTCACTGAGTCTGGTAAAGTTATGACTGTTACTTCCCACATTGAGGTTTTCTTGTTTAATGAAATTGAGAAATATCTCTGGAAATCTAAAAAAAATACGGTTTTGACTAGTGATGGCTGTTGAGATCAGAGGTTGTAAAAAACAGAAAGAACAGTTATTTATTTTGCACCAGGTTACTAGAAGAACAAGAATTTGTATAATATCCAGTAGGATTCATTCTCGAAAATATATATTCAAAAATATTAATACTTGATACAGTTTGAAGAAATCGAGGGCAAAAAAGGATTTTTCATGCAAACATAAAAATAGTGGTAGTAATCATTCATTTTCCAAGAAATATGCGATATTCGAAGAAATAAATTGAAAATAACGTGATTTTTTTCAATATTCGAATGTGAAAGAAAACGTCTAGTTCTGTAATGATGTATGTTTTCTTTGTAATAAATTTCATATTAGACTTCCCACTGTCTATCCCTATGTATGCCTACATCTTTGATTCAGGTTATTTTAATAGATAGAGTGATTCAAGAGGAAGGTTATTGTATATATAACATGCATAATATAGTAGAAAAACACTGATAATTTCGGAGGTTTCTGATATGATGTAAATAAACACATTTTTTTGCGCTTACATTGCAAACGCAAACTGAACCCAAGATAGATATTAAATAATGTACTACACTACAGTATTGTACACCCTAAACAGGTCTACAAAAAGGTCTATCTCTTAGAGATCAACCACAATAACCAGTTTTCATCCTTTACTTTTTTTCGAAACAATTTGAAGCAATACAGCAATAATCCTTATCCAATTAAGTATCTTAAATACATTGTGTATTCAATATTTTCGAATATTTTCGATAATAACACCGATTATGATGGACTGTTTGGAACCTTTGGTGTAGTAATGAATATTACTGGAGTTTTTTCCCAACACTAAATTGTTATTTTTAACACCTCGACACGTGTTTCGATCACCAAGTGATCATCTTCATATCCAATTAAGTATCTTAAATACATTGTGTATTCAATATAGATCAATATGGCCCTTCACATGTAATTCAAATGAATATTTTCGAAAATAACATAGATTATGATGCACTGTTTGGAACCTTTGGTGTAGTAATAAATATTACTGGAGTTTTTTCCCAACACTAAATCTTTATTTTTAACACCTCGACACGTGTTTCGATCACCAAGTGATCATCTTCAACAGAAAGATTAATCTTCCTCTGAATTGAAACAATATACTATTGAATAGTTCCGTGAAAAATATGTGTTCTTCAAATATCTTGATAAAATGTAATAACATACATTTGTTGAAATTTTGTGGTAACATTTCTTATTACCTGGGAATTGGAGAAATTTTTGCCACCTTCAGTGAAAAGACCTGATTTGAGAGACCTATAAAATGTATAATTTGATATTGGAATAATTTGAGAGTAACCTCAATCCAATGATATCCGCTGATTCCTATTGAATTTAGTTTGTCATCTTTTTCTGAAAAAGTTGTGAGTTCTAGGAATATTAAAACCTAGTTCAACTGTTTTCAACTTTTTTCTTGACTTTTCGACAAACTCTTGGATGGATTTTCATATAGTGAATTTTATAATAGTAAAATTTGACGCGTTTGTCCAAGAGGTTTAATTACATTATGAAATGCATATGAATACAAGCAAGCAATACACAAGCAATACACAGCAAGATAAGCTGTGAAGGGGAAAAAGAAACACATTTTATATTTTTTCAAATAAGTAAGCATAACGACTACCACTAAAAATTGCTTTCTGCATCTCTAACACTTTCAATGCAAATAGGCAAACAAATGGATACTTGGATGAGCTCACTGGGATATACTAAACAAGCTAATATCTAGTTGAACAAGCGACAATTCAAAATAAATAACCGTTTTCTACTCTTCAACTGATTAATGATGAATAATGTCTGTTCAGAAACAAGTTTCGGTTAGTTTACCTACATGAACAACTACTTACCTTGGTCAATAGTTACGATGACATTATCACTATCTTTTTTATTGGTTATTTTTATATCGGTGTTGAGCACTGTAGTTTTCGAATTGTACTCGGCTTGATAAACCAGTTTAGAAAAATTTGGAGCTTCTTTGCTGTTCACAGGAGGCAACTTCAGCACCAAGCCTGCTCTACCTATACTACTACTATTTGACGAAATGTCTGCCGCCGTGAGGTCCATATCAATTACTACGTTCGATTTCAACATTGAGCCGTCCAGGTTTTTAATGACGTTAATGTTCCATTTTTTGGTAGCGTTGTCGTATAATACGTTGAAATAGTTGTTATAATCTATAACTGAGTAGATGATTATTGTCTTGAAGTTGTTTGTCTATCTGGAAGACGATTTCAGTTCTTACCGTTTTCAATTTGAAATTGTAACTCAGTGAGGGATTATTCTACATAATAAAAGTGGTCTTGGGAGAAAACTTTAATTTTCTGATTGATTCGGCCATTACTTGATGAAGATCCATAGTAATTTCAAAAACTACACCTCACGATTTGAAAGAAAACTTTAACTCATTTCTTTTCTTTTGAAATCTTTGAGGGAGTAAGATTGAGCATAAAATTTTTTTGAACAATATGCAGCGGGAAGGATTTAACACTGTTCCACCATTTTAAACTTCCAGTTTTAGTGCGGCTTTTGTTACATGCTTCCATGAGAAGTCGGACGATGTTCTCTAAATTTCAAGCCTAGAAGTATCGATTACCTGATCAGAAACATAATCGAATGAAGGGATACAATTAAGCCACGAGTATTGAGAAACCGCCAGCTTATTTCAACTTAACTTGCAACGCGTGAAACAATTTAACTTTATACTTTACCCTTCTTACTATTATCAGTCATAATAATGAATTCAAACTATTGATGAGGGTGCATGAGAAAAAGATATCGATACTCTTTAGGACGGGTTCGATTATCTTGACAGTTCTGAAATGAAGCTGCTATTTCGGGAACCATAAACTTATCGAAGTAATAATTTAAAGTCCGGGTTGAACCGCGTGTTGTGTTTTTAGGAGTTCGACGTTTCGGTTCGACTTTAAGCCATTTTCGAGAAGTTATCACTACACTGAGGTCTAAATCTGCCTACTCCCCAGGTCTCGACGTTGGTCTCTGCAAGGGTCTCAATCTGCCTAATCCCAAGGGCCAACTGTCGGTCCATCGGTTAAGTCAGAAAATCCTTGCAGCGTGTCACTACCTGAAGAGTGAGCAGCTTGAGACCTCAGTGTAGTGATGGCTTCTTGATAATGGCTTCAAAGTCAAAACTGAAACGTCAACTCAAGGAAGTGGCAAACCATAGACACGTGTTACGGGCCTTTGGCCCATTATCAGTATATTACAGCCAAGTGCAAGTATGCGCAACACTTGATTACCGAAAGAAATACAAATACACGGACTCATTAGCAGACGTAAGCCGCACATTGGTGGTTTCAGTTAATAGAGCTTGCGTATACAAGAAAATTACCACGGATGCAGCTATAGATACCTGCATGACAGGAAGTTATAGAACTGTGAAGGTTATTGAGTGTCTTGATGTAAATACAGGAGTCAATTATCGGACCTTGCACTTGGTTGCACTATTACTGATGATAGGCCAAAAGCCCGAAATACGTGCCAATGGTTCGTCCCTTTTTCGAGTGCTATGTCTAATAATTAACTTCTGTATTTATGTATGTATGTATATACAGTAGATCTCACTAATACGGCACTTCAATAGACCGATACGTCCAATAGTCTGCCACCCTCCAGTACGGCGAAACAATATCTATTTCTGATTACATCTGTGTTAAAGTAAATTTATCGCTCGCAAATAATATCGGCATCAAACATCACTTCGTACATTGTCGCATCGTATTTGACAATGTGAACCGCAGTTGCTGAGGAAACGTCAGTCCTGAAATTCTGCAGAACTCCGTTAATAAACCTGAAATCGGCAAATAATCTGTTCAGCACCGAACGTAAAAGCCTTCAAACCACATTTCTTCGTATCCAGAAAACTCAGAAACCTCATAAGCATAATATTACACCGAGCAATAAAGTGCAAAACCCAACTAGCCTACATTGAAAATTCTTATAGAAACATTTTTTATATGAGGCTGTAAATCAATTTCCATTCGATCTTCTCATGCAGTTTGACGTTTAAGTTTTGTTGCTTAGGGTTATATACGAGTATTTAGGTTAAAAAGGGTACCTTAATGAAAATGAACGAACCTGAAGAAAGCCAACTTTTATCTTCATACATGCTATCGACGAAACATATATTATATAATTTTGAAAGACTCGCAACTTGAGTTTCCTTGTGAGAGTTTTAAAAATGAATAGATTCCCAGAAATCGTCTTCCAATTGGAAATGGAGAAAATAATGATGCATTTTAAACTTACTGTCACTGTCAGGTACAATTTTTATATTGTCGGCAGTTTCTCTATTTATTATCTCCAATGGTTCATCCAAAGTCACAACTCCTTTTCCATCTGGGAGAGTGTATTCGGCCGTGTAGAACGTTTTAGAAAATTTCGGAGCATCTTCAGAGTTCACAGGGGGTAGTTTCAGTTCTATTACGGAAAAGTCACTTAAACCGTTTGATTGGTCAGTAGCTTTGATGGAGACCGCAAGATTGGTTCTTGTTTTCAAAATTGCTTCGTCAAGAGGGGATTTTACGTTCACAAACCATGTGTTATATCTACTTATCAAATCAAAATTGGAGGAATATTCTGAAAATACATGATGCTTATTATATTGGAATTGATTTATATGGTAATTAGTTTTTTTTAAGATGATGTACGATGTGTCAGTTTTGGTAACTTCAGTGTGACTCAATTTTGGATATCAATACGAAGCAGAAAAAATTTTTTTTGAAATCATTCGAAATGTTCTGAATAGTGGCCAGTAGATCTGACATGACATTGTTCTCAGATACGTTCCCACGGATAGTTTAGAAAAAATAAAATTATTCATATCTACATATATTTAGGATTTAAAGAAATGAAAAACATAGTGAAACTCAAAATACAGCAACTACAACAGTGATATAGTCTGAAATGATTAGTCCTTGATAGTAAGTGTTCATTTCTCCAAATAATGTTTTTTTTCAATGAGTTTTAGAATTACTCTACAGATTTAGTTTTTGGTTGCTGCTGGATGAGTTTTATATTAAAACAAAGCATTTGTTAGGTAATGTAATTTAGACTAAATCCACATTGACATTATGAATGACATGAACGTTTTTACTGAAGTAAAATTTACTTTTAAACTCCATCACTAACTGAATACTGATGAATTTTGATGTTTACGGCTCGAATAATCTAACAGACTGATAACAGATTTCTACACATCTACTGCACATCTTGAAGGAGGGACTTCTCACCGGCTATGACTCAGTTTGGCAGCTATATGTAGAGATGTTACCACCTTAGAATTTTCACAAACTGTTGCCTGGATGATTTTGAAAACTCACCAAAACTTTTTCTTTGATATCAAAGTTAAATAATTTCTCAAGAACAATTTTATGACTCATTACATTTGATGCACTGGCATAACAGTGGTTAGCAGTTCTATGCTCCAAACTTTTTGAAACCATCCTGACCGTTGAATAACAAGAGTTCGTTCCGCAAGCAATTTGATCAACATGAAATTCAAGATTATCTTTAATATTTTTTAAAAATGTGGGTTAAATAGAAATCGGCCTTATTCAAGCAAAAAAAAAAGAAAAATTCAAGCCAAGAAAGCAATTCTATTCACTTTAAAAGAAAATTTATTATGATACTCGCTGATGTGCTTTTACTTATAAGGGAAGAAGTATAATTCCAAAACTGCAACATCTACTATAACGAACTTTGACATCTTACCATCTGCGACAATAGATATCTGATTGAGATCAAGTTTGTTAGTTATCGATATTTCGTCGATGAGAGTTACACTGGGTATTCCTGAGATATATTGATAGGTGGCGCTATATACACCTTTTGAAAATTTAGGTTCCTCTGTAGGCGTTCTGGGTGGTAGATTGATAATTAGCGTTGCTTTTCCTGAGCCATCGATATCCTTCTTTTTCGCCGCTAGTGTAAGATCAATGAACGACATAGCATCAAGGACAGTTTTACTCAGAGGAATCAAGATCTGAATTTGCCATTTCTTAAGTGAAGCATTATATTCAATGCCGAAATTTGTAATACCATTGTAGTCTGTAAAAAAAGAAGTTACAGTCATTTGACCTCAATTAGTGATTTAGTGTTCGATTTTAACGTACCGCTGATTTCAATAGATATATCTGAGACGTCCGAGATCTTATTGAATTTAACATCCTGGTTGAAATCTATTATCCCAGTTCCTTTGATTGGATATTCAGCTGTATAGGTGACATCTGAAAATTCGGGAGCTTTCGAATCAACCTCATCATTTGGCAGTTCCAGAACCAGAATCGAAATTCCAGTTTTAGTGAAGTTAGCGCCAGATGCTATCATAGTCAGCACAAGTTCATTGTTGGCTTTGAGTACGGATTCGTTGAGAGGTTTTTGGATTTGAATCTGCCAATTACCGGAAGACTTTTCGAAGCGGAAGTTTTCCGAGTAAGCTGGAAATGTTCGAAAATTCGTCAGGAAATGTTTCTTGCTTCAATAATTTGGAAAAGTTTGGTAGATCATTTTGTGTCATTTTTTTACTTACCGCTCAATTCGATTTTTATATCATATTTTTCATCCAGGTTATTGAACTTCAAAGGATTTCCGAATTCGATCACTCCTTTTCCATTTTTGGGATAAGTAACAATATAGAAATTTTCCGTAAATTCAGGAGCATCCTCATCACCATCTGACTTCGGTAATTCCAACACTAACACCGTCGATCCTTTCACGTCGTTTCCTTGCTCCGTGGCAACCAGTGATGCGATAAGCGGCAATTTGTCTTTGAGAATTGAATCATCCAAGGGTTTTTTGATTTTGAGATGCCACTTACCCGAATCAAGAATAACATCGAAATTTTCTGTGTAATCTATGGAATTCAATTTGGGATATTACAGTATGAGTCTCTTTTAAATACGGATACTTGTGTGTTACAGTTTTTGTGTTTTGATGTACCTATACAAGATAGACGATAAGAATGGATAGAAAAATGCTTGGTTGAGTGTGTTTTGATTTAGATTCATGTTTCCAGAAAGAGTTAAGTCACACTTCTGCGATATAATCTAGAAGAGATGAAGTTGATTTTTGGGTAATAGTCATAGTATTCTCCATCATTTTGGAGGTGAGAAATGCCGAACTGTTTAGATTCTAACTATTTTCTAGTTGGTAAGATGTATACATAGCGTTTATTGAAATTTGAATAATTTGGGAGAGACCGTTGTCACGTCCGGGAGACGAATTTCAAGAACGTTCAAGTGAAATAAATTCAGGTCCTGACTCCTCATCCATATTGAGATCAAGAAATTTGCTTGCGGCATTTTTTCATGCGGCAGGAGTAACCAGGTGAAGAAGGCAAGAATTTCCTAGGGAAATGGATGTTTTTGACTATATGTTTAACTTTACTGATTTTTGTTTCAAGTTCAGGTAAAGGTTTATTTTTTATTGACTAGGAGAAGTGTAATGTTTGAGAATCAGTTTTTTTCACTATTCTGGTATTACTCAAGGCCGATTTTCAGAAGTAAAAGAACTTTTTACAAAGGACATTTACAAATTTTTTTGTGACCTAGTATGGGTTATTTCGAAATTGATATGGCTACTTTCTTTTTTCTACACATTTATACATATGTCTAATAATCCTTCAAACCAATTGACCAATTAATCTTCAGCTTTTCCCGTAAATGTTTACATATATTTATTGTATTATTCTGGGAATGGATACCTATTGTTGTTATCATTTAATGAATTTACTGCTAATAAGACCTATATTAACGTACGGAGCCATTGCAAGGGGACCGAAAGTTCTACAAGCAACGGCCATCCAAAAAGTATATCAAATACAGCGATTGGCTTGTTTAAACATCACAGGAGCCATGAGAACAACACCAACTGCGGCAATGTAATTAATTACTGCTCTGACCCCTCTGGACATATACGTTAAGGAGGTTGCGTTAGTGGCCATGTTACGATTGCGCACGGCTGGTGTAAACTTCGAAGAAGGAATGGATCAATTGAGGCTGAGCCTATGGAGAGAAGCGCTCACTGCGCAACCTCTGCTGCAGGCAACCAGTGATGCAATTGAACCCACATTTGTGTTCAATAAACCCTACAAAATACAAATAAAACAGAACACAGAGTCAGATGCTACAAATGCAATACGCATATATACAGACGGCTCAAAAACCAAATAAGGCTCAGGATGTGGAGTGTACTCCAAATCACTAAGCCTAAGGATCAAGTGGGGAATGTAAAAAATACCAGCGTGGTTCAAACATAACTGGCTGGTATCTCAATCACCACAAAAAAAATAACCAGGAAGCCCAGAAAGACATGCTGTATTAGACTTGAACAGAAAACGTGTTACCTCAGGGCTAGTACTAGAGTGCCACCACGATTTAGCCAAAGCCTCGGTAGATAATATCATTATCCTAAGGTGATTGAAGGGCAGGGCAGGAGTGAAGGTAATCGCATTGCCGACTTTTTAGCCAAGGAAGCGGCTGGACTGAGAATTTTAGGACCCAGTGGCACCTACGGCCTAATGACTTCGACCATTGCGGAACTCGCCAAAGGTTACACCCATGCTCAATCCCTAAAGAGACGGGATGAAATCAAATGATGCAATCTAGCCAGGATAACCCTGGGCGACCCTGGGAAGCTGACGCCTAAGAAATATCTGGCGATGACTAGGAAAAATCTACGCTTAACAGTAGGATTTGTGACTGGCCACTGTCAACTGAGGAAACACCTACATAACATGGGGCTAGTGGACACACCTCTATGCAAGAAGTGTGAACAGGAAGATGAAACTCTCAGGCATGTCCTACGCGAGTGTCCGGAGTTATCATCAATAAGAGAGTGTGTGTTCGGTAAGTCTTGGCCTGCACCTGTCGATCCACCTTCCTGGAAAGGAAGGTGGATCGACGATGCAGGACGATGGACGATGACCTAAGAGGACAGCTCCTCAGAAGGATGTACAATGGGTCACATGTGGCCTGAGTGCTGTGGGCCTACATTCACCCTCCCTACTCTATAGATACAGATGAATTTACTGCCATGTAATACATTCCTATAACTTTTTCTGTTAGTGGGGGATAACATACTGTTGGGATTCTATAAATAGAAAGTTTAAAACGAGAAACCAGTTGGGCGATAGTGTGGTATATGAGTTTCGTATTAGAAAAAGATGTATGTTAAAACAAAATAAGTGGAGAGTATTCCATTCTGCGTGATAACAATATAATTTTTATAATAATCTTTAATCGATATAATATTTTAGAACATCCTCTCCTGGTTTTTGTATGAAGGTATGTGTGTGTTGATTGGTTTTTGACGTATGGTAATGAAAGTATTATAGAATTTTTCCATACTCACCACTTACTACTATAGTAACTTTTGTAAAATCTTTTACATTAGTAAAATTTATGTTAGGTTTGAATTCGATCAAACCAGTTCCATTCTTTGGGTAATCCGCCGTGTAGTAATTTTCTGAAAATGCTGGTCCTTCCTTTTTCGTGTCATCTTCTGGCAGTTTCATAACCAAAACCGAAACTCCGGTATTTTTAAATCCCACCGCTGATGCTGTCATAGTAATAACGAGTTCCTTTTCTTTTAGAGTGGTTTCGTCGAGAGATTTTTTAATTTTAACTTGCCATTTTTCATTAACCTTTTCAACGATGAAATTATCAGTGTATTCTGAAATATAAGTGTTTTGTTTCGGTGGATTCTATGATTGGTTGAAATTTGAAAAATTATATTTGATGCATTTGTTCAATCGGAAGGCTTACAGTACCATGGTTTGAAAGAATTTGTGTAAGGCAAGAAATGAAGAAAAATTGATGACGACATGGAAATTGCGAGAAAGAGCAGTGAATATTTTGCTCAGAATAAGAAAACTTCAAGTGGATGCAAAGTATAGTTGATGAAAAAGGGTGACTTTTAAGGATACACAAATTGTTTTTCCCGATTTTCTCTGACATGAGATTCTTATTGAAAACAGTGTGAAAGTAGGTATAAGGATTCACAACTTTTGTATTATGTGATCTGAAATTATTCGAGAGAAATAGTAAGAATAGATTTCTTAGTTTACGATTTTCTTCTCATACAAAAATTATTTGATTTTCATGATATCCGCTGAAAACCTTCGTGTACTGATTATAGATACTATAATTTCAATGCCAAACATATAAAATACTTTCTCTTCATTACTCCTGTGCTGAAAATAGTTTTTTTTTTAATTCAAAAGGGTTTTTGTTGAACTATTTACTTTCAGATGATTTGAAGGAAAAGTAATATTACCATGAAAAAATTTGCTGATAACTGAACTGGCGGATAGAGAATAGAGATACTATAGAATACTAGATTCGAAGAAGATAATGCTTTTGAAGATTCCAATTTTCCAAAAGAAACCATAACATTTTATTGAATCCGACGATTCAACCAGGGAAAGAGGCAAAAACTAGCGATTGAATAAATTAATATTTTCAAGTACTGTGATGGAACGAAACACGTGGATTGGCATTCTGCTGTAGTTCAGCAGGATGCCATTTCAATACTATAATGGTCCTGTCACGAGTCAGCAGGAGATTTTGCGATTTGGAAAAACACCAGCTAATCACAGGGCGAGTCAACAAGACTCCCTCGGTCCACTGCTGTCAGGAAAAACAATATTTCGATTTGCTCAATTTTTTTTCGCAGTCGAGTCGTTAAACACTATATTTCAAAATTATTTTCGGCAAACTGGGTGATTCAGCGTGCCCAACCAAAGTTATATTTTTTTTAATGAAACACCCAGTGTATCAATACGTCATTCGATTCCGTATTTTTTTAGCTCTCTAAGGAATTTTTGTTTTCGAATTTCTATTGCGGCATTGTCAAGTTATTCCAGAAAAAACTATTTTGCAGACAATACTCTTTTAATTAACCACCCGCATGTCTACAGCAATTAGGTGGATTTATTTTAGAAATAGTTAGTCAATATCACTATGGTAGTTTCGGGAATCTCAACTTTTGGAAACAATATATAAGGTGCTTGGTAAAACCGGTCAAGTTTCATTCAGTTTTGAACGGATATAATTCAACTTTTTCAAAGGAACATCTTGTATATTTTTATTTGTATGAAATGTTTCAACTTTTCGCTACATTCTTTATCGGAGGTATATTATACGAAATACATATATTTTACAAATTATATCCAGTTTTATTGATTGTTGTAACCACAAAAAATTCATTTATTTACGTTCACTTTCTCAAAATTTTTTCAAAATGAACAATAACGCCTAAATTTTTTATTGAATAGAGGAGTCCAGAAGATATTCAAAATGGCGACCATTTTCTGCAACATATAATGTCAGTCATTTTTTAAACGAATTATCTACACGTTCCAGCATATCCTCTGGCATTTCCCTGAAAACTCCAGTGATTCTTCATTTCATGTCTTCTCTAGATGTTGGAGGAGTTTGGTAGACATTTGATATACCTCCATAAAAAAATCCATTTCGGTCAGGTCAGGTGATCTGGGTGGCCATGCCACAGGCCCACCCCTTTTTGGTTGAAATGATCGTTGAGGTATTCCCGTATCTCAGTTTTGAAATGTGGTGGTGCACCGTCTTGTTGTAGCCACATTCTAAGTCTTGTTCCATATGGAACCCCGCCCAATACATTCGAAAACTCATGCAGAAGAAAATTTACATAATATCTTCCAGTGAGATGCCCATCCAAAAAATACGGACCGATAACTTTCTTTCCGAGATTCCACCTCAAACATTCAATGACCAACGTTGTTGATGGTTCGGGCAACGAACAAAATAGGGGTTTTCCGTTGAATAATAATGCATGATATGCCGATTCATGGTTCCATTTTTATGAAAAGTCGCTTCATCAGAAAATAACACGAAATCGAAAAAAAAATTTTCTGATTGATATTTTCTAAGCCCCATCGGCAAAACTGAACACGTTTTTCGAAATCTCTTTCTGTGGTAAGGATGAAATTTGCTTGCTCGTATCATTCGAGACACGCTGGTTTGAGAAAATAGTAATTCCCTACTCAGATCTCGGGTTATCATATGGTGATTTTCAACAAGGTGAAGAGCAATTTGGAATGTATTGTCTTCATTTATTACAGGGCAGACGCGTTCGAACTTCTCGTGACTGATATTATCAGTTTTATCAAATCTTGTTTATAGAGCCTGAAATGCCCTTCCACCTGGTTGTCTTCTTTCGGGGAACTTCTCTTTGTACATTTTAGATGCAAGGAGTTAGTTTCCGTCACTTTCCCCCAAAGCATAGACCATTTGCACCATATCTTCCAATACATAATGGAAATGATTCAATCTACACGCGAGTAACGTGGTACCAGATATCAAAAAACGTATCTACAGGAGCCCGAGACTTTCCGAACTTATTATATTTCAAATCTTCGAATTATATATTTGTACTGCTCTCGAAGAGAATAAACGCTTTCTTGACTCTTTATGTGAAATCGATTTTTTTTCAATTAAGTTTTCGATTTCCAATACATAATTCGCGAAAGAAAACACATGGCGTTATTGACAAATTCAGAGATTCATTTTTTGATGTCAGTCATGGATAACTGGGTTTTCAAAGAAAAAAAACAGTATAAATATTTTTTAGGTTTTTTACGCATTTCTTACCGTTGAAACCGCTGATAACTATCACTAGATGGTATGAAAAATATTTTTTGTGGTTACAACAATTACTAAAACTTGGTATAATTTGTAAAATTTCAGTTTCGCGTATCGTATACCTGTGATAAAAAATGTAGGAAATGTTGAAACCTTTCATACAAATGAAAAAATACAGGGTGTCCCTTTGAAAAAGTTGAATTATGTCCGTTTGAAAATGAAAGAAACTTGACCGGTTTTACCGAGCACCCTATACATTGTTTCCAAAAGTTGAGAATTCCGGAAACATCATAGTGATGTTGACTAACTATTCCTAAAAAAAATACCTAATCGCTGTAGACATGCGGGTGATGAATTTAAAAAATTATTGTCTGCAAAATAGGTTATTTTGGAATAACTTGGCAATGCCGCAATGGAAATGTGAAAACAAAAATTCCTTGGAGAGCTAAAACAATATGGAATTGAATGATGTTTTCGTGTACTGGGTGTTTTATTTAAAAAAAAAATATAACTTTGGTTGACCACGCTCGGCTGAATCACCCAGTATGCGAGAAAATGATTTTGAAAGATATTATTTATCGATACGACTGTGAAAAAAATTGAGTGAATCGAAAAATAGCAGGACATTGTTGTACCAACTCCGGAGGAAGATGGAAACGATTGTTCTATCAAATCCAGCCAATTCCAAGTGAGAGATCTTCAGTCGTTCTCGTAGAAAAACTTGACTTCTTATAATGATAATGATATTCTCCAATTAGTTACGGTACAATTGAGCAAAAGAGGAATATCTTCAAGTGACCCAAAGACAAAGTAACTTGTGGAGGGGGCAAAATCACAAAACCATTCCTGAACGCTTATCGCCTTTCCCAGCAATCATTCATGAATTTCAATGAAGATGTTTAACGGAATGCGGGTGAATCAACGTGAAACTAGTGAAGGATGAAAAATAAAAATAGCAATGAAAGTGAATCAGTGAGATAGCTGAGATAATGAAAGAGTGATATTGAATCATGAGTATTAATTTTTAGGTACCTAATTGGATGAAATTGTGCAACGTATGAAAGATCACACAGATATTCACGAAAAGAAAATAATTGGAGTGAGAAATGAAAAGGAAAAAAACTAGATGAACAAGATAAAATGAGAGAGAAGTCGAGAAACTGTACGGAAAGAACGGAAAAAAGTATAAAAATCCTAAGACATTTACAATTTCCTGGCATATCTTCTTCAATAAAATACCTAGGAAAAGCTCGTAATTTGTTATGTATGCCTCTCAATGACGAGCCTGACACGGTAAGATTTTCGATATTCCACAACGTATGGGTGCAGTTCAATGGCTGCATGTTATTATTGAAACTCTGTTGATAATTTAGTATCAATTTTGAGATTTTTGTTTACTTACTGTTGAGTTCAATTTTCACATCAACTTTGTCGTCAACGTTTCTGAAAATCAGTGGTTTCTCGAATTCAATTATTCCACTTCCCGTTTTCGGATACTCGACGATATAAAATGGCTCTGAAAATTCCGGTTTGTCTTCGGTTTTCTCTTTCGGCAATTCTAGAAGGAACACTGATGATCCTGTCAGGTTATTTCCTTCCTCAGTAGCTTCCAAATTCGTAACAATAGGAGACTTTTCTTCTAGGGTGGATTCGTTCAAGGGGTTCTTGATTTTGAGTTGCCATTTATTTGATTGATGCACTACATCAAAGTTTTTTTCGTATCCTATGGAATAAGTCATATATAATGGTAGAGGCTCTTGTTTTGTTGAAAGTTTTATGTGTTTAATGTGGCATGTGTGTTTTTTATTCGCTTGTTTGTGGATGGCTTGAGGTTTGCTGAATGGTCTTTGGAAATTTATGTAATTTCAATTCATGTTAGGTAATTCGTGAGAATTGTATGCTTATACTGTGTATAAGTGTGATACTCTCGTTCTTCTGTATGTAGCTGGTAGTGTTCTTGTGAGTGAATGATTGATCGTGTTTTTTACTCACCCTTTACTTGTATTGTAACTTTTCCAACATCTTTTATATTAATGAAAGTAATTTCACTACTGAAGTCAATTAAACCAGTTTTGCTGTCTAAGTAATTCGCCATGTAGTAGTCCTCTGAAAATATTGGTCCTTCTTTTTTATCCTGTTCAGGTAATTGTAAAACCAAAATGGAAATTCCGGTGTTTTTGAAGCCTGCTGCAGTTGCTGTCATGGTAATGACGAGTTCTTTTTGTTTCAGGGTAATTTCGTCGAGAACCTTCAGAATTTTTATTTGCCATTTTCCATCAGACTTTTGAACGAGAAAATTTTCAGCATAATCTGAAACACAACGAACACTCAACTTATAACTTCGAGAATTCAATTTCCGTTCTTCGAATTTGATCGTGTTACCATTCATCGGAATAAATCAGTTGACAAATAATTTACCAATCGCTCAAAAAAGGCTCGCGTCAAATGGTGTAAAAAAATGATTGAAAAGTTCGACCGTGGTCCTTCAAAAGACATGTAAAAAATCGTGACAGATGACGAATCATGGATATATTCGTATGAGCCGGAAACAAAACAGCAATCGAGCGTGTAGCTATTCCAAGACGAGTTAAATTCAAGAAAGTTGTTCGTGAAAGAAGCACAGCGAAGCAACTGGTCGCCTGTTTCTTCGGCCGAATGGATCCTGTGGACACTGGTACACGACTATTTGTTTGCCGGAAGTCTTTGGAGAAATTCGTAAAAAACTGACCGCCGAAGACGAGTCATTCTCCATCATGATAATGCGAGCTCTTGATCATCTTGTCAAAGAGGTGAATTTTTGAGCAGTCAAAACATCGAATTGATGACTCATCCTCCGTACAGTACTGATTTGACACCCAATGACTTCTTTTTGTTCCCGAATATCAAAGGTGAACTGCGTGGTCAACGATTTACGAGCGCCGAAGAAGTAGTTGAAACGTTCAAAAACTATGTTTTGGAGGTGTCTCAAGGGGAATGGAAAAAAGTGCTTTCATCAAGGGGAATATTTCGAAAAACAATAAAGCAGAAGAAACAACGTATCGTATTTTTCTACTACTGAACTATCATATATGGTTCAAATGTAGGCACTTTCAATACCAACGTAAACACGTCAAACAGTGGAACAGCTCAAACCACAGAGTCAACATACACTTAAAATTTTTAGAAATATCTAATCGGTCACATCTGAATAAGACGCAAGTTCTGAAACAGGATCAATTACTAAAATGATATCCAATGTCGAAATACTATCCACCACCATTAATAAACCAAAACCTAATCCAGCGGCTCTCACATCATCTTCACCAGATCCTGAAGAAACACCTAATGAATTGGAACCAGCCAGAAAAATGTTTGCAGATGTCCACCCAAGGAGTTATGCTTTGTTAATATTGTCTTTTATTATTAGTTTTTTTTATTTTACCACGTGATTTTCTAGAAAATATAAAAATCAACAAGTTAGAAAGGGGTAAATATAATAAGTCAAGGGGCTACAAACTAACATGTGGATCATGCCCCAAAGTTTATATAGGAGGACTTCAAGAAATTTCAAAAAGAGAATTTCACAACGTTGAAGAAGTTTTGAGCTAATTCCACCTATGCTTGCCACCTTTTAGAAAATGATTTCAACATGGACTACGATAAATTACATACAGAAAGTAAAGGACAAAAGTGAAACATGCTAGAATGTCTGGAAATCAATAAAGGCAAATATTCAATTTCAGGAAGTTAGTCATTCACCATTATTGAACTTGTTTTCATAAAATGTCATTAATTAACATTTTACATATAATAAATGTTCTTCTAGTAATACTATTGTATTTATTTACTCAGAATATTATGTAATTATAAATTAAAACCCCAAATTGGAAATTATTCTGTCAAATACAAATCATGAAATTATAAAACAACAATAAAAATTAATTGGCGTTCCGGAGCGACTTAATTGATTCCAGTGGCGCATTTGCTTTTTCAGCTGCAGGAAAACTCGGAAGAACCTGCAGCACCACATCATCTGAAGATCTTGATCTACCAATGTCGTCTCTCTCATGAAACAAAATGTAGGGTGTTTCCAGAGGCTCCAATAAATTCAATACATCGCCAGAACACTTCGTAAAACGACTATCGTCGTTTGGTCTTTGACCAAGGCGTAATAATGACCAAATTCAACGCCAGAACCACAGTGAACAATGACAGTATGAATATTATAAAAGTGGTCTGCTAGATTGAAGTGTTCATCTATTTCGAACCTTCGTAAGAGTTTGGTGCTTACGTCAGAGGTTAATTCATGTTTGAAGGTCATCAGTGTTATTATTAGATTGACTAGTGCCTCAGCTATACTTGTTTTCTTATAGCAGTCAGTTAGTTTGGCGCATGTTTGGCAATATAGTCGATCATCACCTGCTGAAAGTTCCATTTTCAGATGATTTAACAATAAGCATTGCACGGACTGGTTATTAGTTATATTAGGAAACGCTAGTTGAGTTTTGACATAAAATGCTAATATTGTACCTGTTTCCTATAAGTGATATTGTATTGTACCTATCTGTTATCTTATAAGTTTTCTTATAACCTACTGTTAAATAAAACATAATAGAGTAAAATAGTTTGATGTACCAGTAACTGAGAAGCTACCGTGTAGCGAAACGCGTTTTAAATAAAATTTGTTGTGAACATTTTATAATTATTATCATGGAAAATAATACATATGGAGAATACTCTATATCACCAATTTTCAGTCACACCTTTTTTCATATTCAAAACATAACATCAGTTTTGATCAAACTTGTTTTATGGATTTCAGATTGTTTATGGGGTACTTTACATAACGAGTTGTTGAAGCTCAGTCGGATAATCTCCCAGAGTTGGATACAATGATCGTGACTAGTTTTTGAATAATGCCTTGTTTGCAACTGGAAATGCGACGAGTTGAAGTCAAGAAGTATGAAATGACGAAATAGAGAGATAAACATGTTATGAAGAAGAAATACGTTAATATTCTGATTGATTCGGCCGTTTCTTGATGAAGATCCATAGTAATTTCATAAAATAGACCTCACGATTTGATCTCTACAAACTTCATTTGAAAAATATATCACGACATGATTTGCAAACACAGTAGCTCTATCAACAGTGTATCAGTAGATATATTAAAATTGTTTATGGAACAAGTAATACGTTGGGAAAGTTAGTTAAAAATTATAAAGATAAAACATCCAAATTCGAGAAATCAGGAGTATATAAATAGAAGTGTGGAACGTGTCCTAAGGTATATATTGGTCAAACTGGCAGAACATGTAGGAATCGAATCCAGGAACACCATATAAGCTAGGTAAATAAGAAAACAAGTTCAACATATTCAAATCATTTTTTAAAATAAAATCATGTCTTTAACGAAGAGTTCAAAATTTTACAGATAGAGAATAAAGGTCTAAAAGTGAATCATTTGGAAGCAATGGAAATTAATAAACTTAAAAATTCAAACATTCTAATAAATGACCAATTGGATTCGAATAGATCACCATTATTGAACTTGTTTTCTCAGAAAAACCGAGAAATGAATCAGTATTATTGATGTACAAGTGAAGTAATATGCTTCAGGTGATCATGATTGAAGAGGTACCTTGGGTAGAGGTTTAGGTAATTTGTGGGAGATAATCTCAATTATGGTTACCTGTAGTATATAAATATTAGTGTAAGAAGCAACTTGAGTATTTAAATCACTGTTGATAAAGCTATTATGTTAGCGAAACATGTCGTCAAATAAAGTTTGTGGAGATCAAATCGTGAGGTGTAGTTTATGAAAATATAAAAATACACGATGTCTCTAGCCTTGATAGCATAACGAAATTCTTGGTTTCATATTTCATCTAATATTCATAAATTAATGAATAAATAACGCTTTATGTTGTTATTTTCATTAGAGAAAGTAGAAAACTATAACTGCAAGTGAATATTACTGGAGTTTTTTCCCAACACCAAACCGTTATTTCTACGATGGGGGAATACTTATATTTCGGGAACTGGCAACACTAAAGTCAATAGGTAAAATGTGGCAACACCGTAATAAAATTTGGCATTTTTTAGCATAGACGTACTCATAACGTTTTGATGTACAAGTGCTATTTGTTTTGTTTACAGTGAGTTAAAAAAATCAATTTGACCAAAAAATTTAAATTTCAAGAGAAGGTTTTCGTTGAACTATTTTTCACAACTTTTGACTTGAATTATCTCAATAAGAAAGTGTCGATAAACTCAGTTATTTGTATGGCGATGAAGAACCATAAAAAACCACAGTAAATTATTGTCTGCAAAATAGGTTTTTCTGAAATAACTTAGCAATGCCGCAATGGAAATGTGAAAACAAAAATTCCTTGGAGAGCTGAAACAATATGGAATTGAATGATGTTTTCGTGTACTGGGTGTTTTATTTAAAAAAAAATATAACTGTGGTTGACCACGCTCGGCTGAATCACCCAGTATGCGAGAAAATGATTTTGAAAGATATTATTTATCGATACGAGTAATATCTTCAAGTGACCCAAAGACAAAGTAACTTGTGGAGGGGGCAAAATCACAAAACCATTCCTGAACGCTTATCGCCTTTCCCAGCAATCATTCATGAATTTCAATGAAGATGTTTAACGGAATGCGGGTGAATCAACGTGAAACTAGTGAAGGATGAAAAATAAAAATAGGAATGAAAGTGAATCAGTGAGATAGCTGAGATAATGAAAGAGTGATATTGAATCATGAGTATTAATTTTTAGGTACCTAATTGGATGAAATTGTGCAACGTATGAAAGATCACACAGATATTCACGAAAAGAAAATAATTGGAGTGAGAAATGAAAAGGANTACCATACAAATTTGTGTGAGCGGATGTATTCTCCACTACTTCACCACATAGTTCAATTATATCCGATAAATCCTTAGGTAATCGATTGTTTTTGATATGAGGATACTTGAAAATCATGAATTTACTTCAAAAGATATTGAAATATCACCATCTTACTGATTTTCTCGATGAATTCTTACAAGCTATTGCAATTTCACATATCAAGATGGAACATATAGATCCATAACTCTAAATCTCACCTGTTAACCTATATCTAACAGGGCACACTTCAATTTTCCTTGCCAATAAAAATTGGCAAGGAAAGTTCGTACTATTTTCTGATAGATAAACCAATATAAAGTTAACAATAGGCTGTTTGGAATAGGACCTTCGAACAGTGACAAAGATCCTACCCCAAACAGAGCATTGTTTACTTTTATATAATGTGAAATTTAGGACCTAGAAATAATGACGAAGGTCACATTCTAAAACAGTTCATGAGTCACTAATAAAAGATAAGGGGAACTTTCATGGACAATTTACAGCCATATTGTGTCCAAGAAATCATTGATTTGTGTCCAAAAGTGAAAGTATAGTCTATACATCGGCCAGATTTAGAGCTAGCAATCATTCTATTTCATCTATTGAAGTCGTCGAATTCGATGGTGTGTTCTTGCTCTGGTGCTTGGGAGCAGTGCTCCCTTTGATCTTCAGTTTATTATCTGCTCACCACTCAAATTAATTAATATTTCATCATTGTCTCCCACGTTCTTGAAGCTCAGTGGTAAATTTATCACACCTGTTCCGTTTTTTGGATAGACCACTTCATAAAACGTTTCCGAAAACTCAGGGGTTTCTTCAGTCTCCGGTAATTCCAATACTAAGACCGATGACCCTTTCAAATCAGTTTCAGTTACTGTAGCTTCCAAATTTGTAACAATCCTTGAGTAGTTTCGTAGTGGAAACATCCAAAGGTTTTTTGATTTTCAATTGCCATTTACTTGATTGATGAACCACATCAAAGTTGTCGTAGTAATCTATAGAAATAATGTCAATATATTGTGGTAGAGCATTTGTTTCGCGTTGGTGAATTTCTGAATGAGAGTTTTGTTCGTTCAAGTGTGGATTGATCCAGATAGTGCTCCTTCTCACTTTATTAATGGAATGTGTATCGACTTTTGTAACAGTGTGTAAAAACTTGTATCTTCTAGTTGTGCCGCAAATATTGGAAAATGCTCAGAGTATTTTCACTCATTAATGTGGGAATATATTTTGTGATTATGTAATTCTGTCTGATACTAATATTTTCACTGATATTTTCAACATTAGTGAAAGTAATGTAATTTTTGAAGTCGATGAAATCGCTTTCAGAATAAACCGCTGTATATTATTTGTCTGAGAATATTGGTGCTTCTTCTTCTAGTAATTGCAATACCAAGACCGAAGATCCTGTTTTCTTGAAGCTTTTTCCAGATACCTTCATAGTGATCAAGAGTTCTCTGTTGTTTTTCCGCGTGTATTCGTCCAGTGATTTTTGTATTTGAATTATCCATTTTTAGAGGACTTCTTAATAACAAAATTTGGCTGGAAATCTAAAAAAAAGGGGTTTTCTTTCTTTGGACCGTTCAGGAAGAAGAGGTATATCGTGGAAGTTGAGACACCAATTAGAATATTTTTTCGTCAGTTGATGAAATCGTGGTTTCAAACAATTTTTTGATGCAACTTCAGAAAAGTAAATTGGTGAAAATGACGAATTTTAATAAACTGATAGAGATCAATCAATAAATTCCTTAAAGTGAAAATGGTACAGAATATGTATAAGATGTGCAGTTGAGTTTGTCAATCATTTTATTGTTGGAACTTTTAAACATCGAGCTCGATGAATATCGTTTATTCAATTCCTGTTAATATTTTTTCGTGAAATCATTTTGAATTTACTTGAGAAATGTACATATAACTTTTATAAATACATACGGTAAAAACGGAATATAAACTTTTTGTTACCAAAGTGGTAAGCTAACACCGACAAGGATATGGAGCATTCAATGTTAGTTTAAAAAATCGATCTGATGAAAGGAAAGACTTGAAAGAGCTGATAGGGTTCATCAGATTCTTCCAAATTGAAATGTAATTGAAGAGAAATTTGCTGAACGAATAATATACATATATGTTGATATTATTGGATACCCATGAAAGTGACTCAATCGATTCACTGTTGAGATTCATCTTTTTAAGTAACTGTTCATTCGACTTTCTCCCCAACACAATATAGTTTTATCACATTGATGGTAGGAAATGATAAAACGTCTCTCGATCAACGAAACTTGCTGCAACTATGTTAGAAAGAAACATAACTTGTAACAAAATCTTCATGTACTGTCTACTTACTGTTCAGGGTGATTTCAATATGAACTTTTTCGTCAACATTCTTAAAGCTTAGTGGCAATTCTATTACTCCTGTTCCGTTTTTTGGATAAACTGCTGTATAAAACGATTCTGAAAATTCGGGTCCCTCTCGAGGGATTTTCGGTAATTCCACCACCAAAACAGAGGATCCTATCAAATCGTTTCCCTCCTCCGTTGCATTCAGAGTTGTAACAATTGGTAGCTCTTTTTCTAGAATAGAATCATCCAAGGGTTTCTTGATGTTCAATTGCCATTTATTCGACACTCGTGCTACTTCGAAGTTATCTTGGTAGCCTATGAAATTAAGAAGTAACATGAATTTTGTGAAGTGTACTATGTGTTGCTTATTCGTGTGTGTGTGTGTACGTGTTTGTGTTATTTTCTTTCATATGTATACAAGGTGTATCATAATTCATGGTTCAAAATGAAGGAGATAATACTGGAAATCATTTCCGATGAGAAAATTTCATTTAGCATGGGTACCGATTTCTCAACGCTTTCGGTTATTTATATTTTTGTGATTTTCTTACAGAAAATTTTGTAAATGCAGTTCAAAGGCATTTTATTGATTTTTCTCTACAAGTATAGACCGTTGATCATTAACGATATGTTTGTGAAAATAGCAGTTTCCTGAAAATCTGATAGCTCAGTTACTTTTCAAAATCAGGTTAAAAATTGAAACTGAAAAAACAGTCAAAAAATATATCCTTCTCAGATTCTTAATTGACAACATTGTTTTTCAACATATTCCGGAATTTCAATATCAATTTCCTTATTTTATTTCTAGGGGAATATACTTGTAGATGGCAATTTTGTCGTGATGAATTAACTTTTTTCAAAAATTAGATTTTCATATATAATAATATACCCTGTCTCGTAGAATCATTATAAATATGATATATTGTGTTAATTTTTTTCTACTCACCAGCCACAACGATTGTAACTTTTTCAATATCTACAACATTCACGAATTCTATTGAAGTATCAAAATCGAAATATCCGCTCCCCAACTTTGGATACTCAGCTTTATAGACTGATCTGGAAAATTGTGGAGGTTCCTTGACAATTTTTGTTATCTTCAAGATGGTCCAGGCTTCGAATTCGTAAGAATCCCTAGCGATTATAGTTAGAGTTATTACATTTTGAGATGCTGTACTTTCCGGTAACGGAGTTACAATGGACACTTCACAGGTCTTGCTTGTTTCATTGTAGGTAACATTAAAGTTTTTACTGTACGCTGAAAATTTGAAGTTCATGATTTCCCGAAAGTCTCGTTTGGAAAACTGCTTCGAAGTTTTCGAAATTGGAACAGAAATGATTTCAGGTTTGAACTGATTTTTGTACAGAGAAATATAGAAACATTGTGAATAGTCAAGCTAAGCTCAGATTTATGTCTATTATTATCATACAATGTCGTTGAAGTATTCATATTCGACGAACTTCAGTTTAATCATCTCTAGAGTATTGAAATATTACTTTGCAAAAATTGCAATATACTGTATAGGAACGTTTTTCAATGGTCACAACCAGATTCTTTTCAATGGAATTCAAAATGAAATTATCCAAAAAAGAGTGTTAATGCCCTGCGTTAGTATTCAAGTTATTTCTTCATTATGACTGATTTCCAACCAAATCAAATTTCAATATCCACAAGGTGTCCGGCGTCAGTTATTTTGTGAGGTGGTTGTTATCGAAAAAATAATATGGAAAAAGTACTCAACACCTTGTGTAGATTCTTCTTCACAGAGTTATTTTATCAATATATTTTGACATTTTGAAAATATTTCGGAGTTTTTTATGTTCAAAATTCTGGGTTTAACGTCTATTGCATATCTGACAAATATAACATTATTCAAAAGTCAAAATACTTATGCACGTGAAACTGGTCATGTTTGACAGGGATCCTGACAAAATATTTTTTTACAAAATGTTGTTCATATGTTCATATATAGTTGGTGAGTTATGAAAAATGGAAATACTTTGTAGATCAAATACCGATTTTAATGTTGAGGTATTAGAAATACTATCAAGAAATAATCAGATGAGTTAAAATAATGATAATAATATACAATGAGAATGAAATGAAAAGGAAACAAATTTTTCCGACCTGAAATGGAAATGAATGATTGTAGCCTAAAAAAAATATTAGTATACAAAAAATTAAAGAAAACAAAATATTATAGAGATTTCAAATTGAGCTGTTTCATGACCACTCGATTTCCAAAGTTCACTATTTTCGAGTAATGACTGGTTCATTCCTGATGCTTTGAGATCCCTTATAGTCGATACCTGATGATGCACAGAGTTGAGGTGTTGTGTGCTTATTTTGAGTCGTTTGGGTGCGCTTTTCTCGTTTTTTTTTTCGGATCACGTCGTTTTCCGATACAAAGCCCCTGTTGATTGAATATTTCCCAAGGTAGCGGATTTCTACACTAGCCTAGTGAAATGCTCTGTTGTCGAAATGTTAGCAGTTACTTTGAATTTCCTTCTGCTCCTTCTTTGGACCACATCATGTTTTGTTTGTAGATCCAAACATGTTCAGCTTTCTCCGATAATAGTCTTTTCTCGTTGGGTGTTTTTCATATACTAACCAATACGTAGTTTCAACGGACTGATGCAACATACACGCTATCCAGTAAACACTTTATCCTGATTTGGTGGCACAGTTTTTCTGAGTTTACTAATGGTATATTTGACTGGATTTGAAAAAAAGTCCACATAATGTAGTAGATCCAATCCATTTTATCTTTTTCGATAGTCTTTTGACGTCACTGTTTGTAACGGCTTCTTTTCTGGCTAAGATCTCTTTTACCAGCTCCTTGCAGTAACCATTTTGTTTGACATCTCATTTGATATGGCCAAGTTCCTTGTCGAGATTTGTCTGCATGCTTCATTAATTTGAATTCCTCTCTTAGTATATTGGTGGTATTTGGATACATACTTCAGATACTGTTCCGAAGCCGAGATTTTTGTGTATATACATGTTTTCCTTTTCTTGTTGGCTTTCTCACTATCACGTCTAGAAACAGTAATTCGTTGTGAGCTTCCGCAACGATTGTGAGTATTGTTGAAAGTCTCACGCTGTTCAGGTGTTCAGGTGGTTTTGTTTCAACCAGGTTTGGGGCTTTTTGAGTAGCCACTTTTTCAAACCACCCTATTTATATATTGGCTGAAATCGATGAAAATAGCAAACCCATCGACAGTTCTTCGTCTTGCGGAAAGAATTTGTCTCTCCGGTGGAAATAGTAATTATGGACAGTTGTTTGTCTTCCTGGTCGTCGTTTTTGAATAGATTTCTCTTGAAATATCGAATTGCTTTATCAATCGCTTTCTACATAGAAACTGATGAGTTGAACTAGTATTATCAAAACTTTCAGTTCAGTCCTTCGATTTACTTCAGAAAAAGTGCCTTGGATCTTTTATGGAAGATGAGTTTTTTGCAATAGAAAATAGAAATTTTGACAAGGAGCATAACTCAACAAGGACGAGAAATATAAACTTCTGAATGGTCTTCAACAATCAGAAATGACCCAGTCATGCCTCGAGGACGATTTTTTTTCTTCTCATTTGTTTATTACAATATTATATAACTTATAAATTATTATTTGAATTCACTCATTTTCTAATTGAATACCAATTACTAAATACCAATTTCAGACAAAAGAAGTCCAGAATGGATTTATTAATAATAATGGAATACAATATCAATAACAATGACAGCCACTATTTTGTTGACAGTATTTCTCTAGAAACGAAACAACTACCATACAAGTCAAATTAGATTATTCCTGTTCCAATCAAGACAACCACGGATCATTTCCGAAAACTACACTTACATCCATCGATCTTTATCGAGGTAAGTTTCACCGCAGTAGTGAAGGCGATAGGATTCTTATCGTCAAGTGAAAGAGTGTTGGCATCGGCATCGTAAGTTGCATCATAAAGGTTGTTCGTGAAGAGAAGTTGGTGTTCCGGAAGTTTTATTATCAGAGCTGCCTCGTCGGTTATTTCAGCCAAAGTTGCTGTCAAGGTGAATGTTAAGTGCGTTAAAGATTTCACGTCGGATCCTGTTAACTTCTTGGAAACCGTGATCGTGTAACTTCCATTAGTGAGGTCTATTTTGAAGTGATCGCTGAAATCTGGAAGCGTAGGAAATTGTAGATAGCAGAAGTAGATTCAAGAAAAATGTTGATACATCGGTTGGATTTGTTTGAGTTACATATCTAAAAAGACTACTTCACCTTTTACTTTCAAATAGTAATCGGTTAGTCTTTTACTCTTGATATTACTAATGCTATTTAAAAAATTCCAAAGTATATATTCAAATGAGCCTATGATTATGAAAATCTTGCATGTGTGAAGAGAATTTACTGAAACGCACGAGTATAGAGTGCATTTCTTTAATGTCTCCCTCTTTTATTTTTTGAACGGGTCAACAAAAAAAATTTAAATTTGGGATAATGAAATTAATGCATGAATACTTTATTATGAAGTGAAATTGACAGATGAAACTTTTAAGATGGCGACTGGGCGCCATCTGGGAAAAAAATTAAATGGGAAGGGGGTCTTGTGATACATAATTTTGAAGATCCTGACGAATACTTTTCATCCCTGGAATGTGAAGTCAATATCTTCACCTACTACACAATGGCGGAACATTTAATAGTATCCTGAAGAGAAACACATTAATATCGATATTTCTGGAAATATTCCTTTTTATCTACCATTTGGCAATTCCAACAACCCGGTATGGCTTTTTGTTTATAAAAACGACAAAAAATGTCAGTGAACATCATTGTTCAGTTAGAATATTCTCATTTAGTTTTCGGTTTTACTAGTAGAAAGATACCACGTTAACAATCCCTAAAATGGTCAATTCTCGTCTATTGGAAAAAAAATTGAAGCGTTTTTTATTTACGGTGTGACGCGTAACTTTCACGAGAACGAAAGGATTTTCAAGGAACGTTTTGCGAATCGTCCTATCTGTAGAAAATATTTGAGGGAACTTGTATCCAAATTCACAACTACCGTTAGTGTAAACAACAAAAAGCCACCAGGTCATCCGTCCATTCCAGAAGAACAGCAAGTGCAAATAACTGGTGGGATGGTAGTAAATCCTAAACAGTCTACTTATTCCATCGCGAATGTTTGTGAGGTGTCTCCTTCTACTGTGTGGAGATTTTTCAAGAGGAATAGGTATCATCTATACAAAATTAAAATGGTACACCAATTAATTGAAGATGACCCTGATCGAAGAACAGAATTCTGAGAAATCATGACGGAAACCATTGCAAGGCATCCTACCTATCTCCACTATATTTGTTTTAGTGACAAATGTACATTTTTTTCAAACGGCAATGTTCACAGACAGAATTGTCGTTATTGGAGTGACACCAACCCTCACGTTTTCCGGGAAACACATACTCAATATCCAGAAAAATTAACGTTTGGGCAGGAATATTGGGAAACCATATTGTAGGACCTCTATTTATTGATCAGAATTTAACTGTATTTGAATATGTTGGAAACTACTGTTGACCATCTCATCAGTGAAATCGTCGAAGCGTATACTAATGAATTCGATATGGATATTGTATTCTAACAAGATGGAGCACCACCACATTACTCCAGACAAGTAACACGGCAGAGAATACATATTTGTAGAGATATTGACGTTACTGTGTTCGAAAATGTTTAGCGTGAAATATCAAATAGGCTGTTCATATGTCAAGAAGTTCAAGGCAACCATTTCGAGCATCTTCTGAACTGACCTCAAGCTTATTACCTCATATTATGTAGTTAAATCTCAATGTATTCAGGAAATTATTAAAAGTTCCGCCATTTTGTAGTAGTTGAAGGTGTTGACATTATATTCTAGGGTTATGAAGCATTTGTCAGGAGCTTCAAAAAGATGTGTCACAAGACTTCGTTTATTTTTTTTTTCTAGATGGCACCCAGTCGCCATCTTGAAAGTATTCATACATTAATTCAATTATCCCAAATTTCAATTTTTTGAGTTGACCCGTTCAAAAAATAAAAAGGGGGGACATTGAAGAAATGCAGTATATACTGTTTTCAGTTTTAATAATAACTTGTTGTGTGCAGAAAGTTTGAGATATGGTGAATATCAGAGTGCGTTTTATATTCGATGAAACTAGTTACCAAGAAGATAATAAATGTCTGTTTGATTGAAGACCAGTTCGAAAATGGCAATTTTTGCAAAATTTCATCCTTACGTTATACTGAAAATGCGTTTTTGTGTACCCAATTCATTATCGTAATAATGATACAAGATATAGAAAAGAGACTTCAGAAAAGTAAGTTTCAAGAATTCAAACTTCTTATTCTATATTGAAAAGGGTGTGTTTGTACGAGAGAATAATTTTTGGGAAACAAAGGTGTTGGCTTTCTAGTTCTCTATCTTAATACAAAAATCACAAAAAAAGGACGAAAACGAATAATTTCATAATGAACTTTTTACAAAGATGTGTAGATCATGCCTAGAAGTTATTTTCAGACACAAACTGGAAGAAAGATCTCTCTCGAAGTGACTACTTTCATAATAAACATTGAATTACATCAAAGAAAGATTACTTCCGAAACAACTACTTTTATATGAAAATTGAATTATATAAAAATAAAACTTTTTTCTATTCAGTTTTTACTGAAAACATTCGCTATAGAATTGAACCTGATGTCATTCATAGGATTGCTGTACAATATAATATATGACATTCATTGACTTATTTGATTCAATCCCAGCCACAGGAATGTCATTTAAATTGAAAAAGGTGCCTATATTTTTAGAAAGAATGATTTTTGGGAAAGAAATGCTTGACATTTCATACAAAAAATGTGGGAAACTTCCAAGGGAAGGAAGAAAACAATTAAATGAAATGAATAAAAAAAAATAATTGTAGATCATGTATAGAAATAGCTTTCAGACAAAACTGAAAGATGAAGCTCTCTCGAAACGACTACTTCCATATAAACATTGAATTACTACTTCAACTTTGACTGTATTGATCTCTATCACTGAGCCTAAGTTAGCTTGTATAATTGAAATCATTGTATTATTGCATTAGGAGAAAGATAACTTTGCTGGAAATAATAAGAATAATCATTGGCAACTGACTTTATTGAATGACCATATAATACATAAAAATTTGATATTTGCTAATTGTACTTACTTCTACCTATTACCAATGATATTTCGGTACTATTGCCGAGGATACGTCTCTGATACGGCTGAATATAATAAAACATATAGCTATCAACAATGATTACGATAGCAATCTAATACATTCTCTATTATCAAAAAAGTTACACAGCCAAGTTTTGAAGGAAGTTTACCCATTTTGAAGAGATGAGGATGAAAGTTAAGTTAACTACTTAGGCCAACCCACTACGAATATTTCAAATATTCCGCACAAGTGTAAATATTGCTTTCAAAACCAACAAAAACTCAGGCATGCACAGTGAGAATAACAAAGATAAAAGTTCAGTTTCAGAAATATCGGGAGTGTATAAAATAGATACCATGTGGGCCATGTCCGATGTTTTATATAGGTCAAACTGGAAAAATGAAAAGCCCGCATAAAGGAACACAGAAATAGTTTTCATGGAATGAAAAAATTAATTCCACATATGCCAATCATTAAATCACAGAAGGACATGAGTTCAATCATGAATTCAAGCCCCTCCATTTCCAGAAGAAAGGTTTAAAACTTAACCTGTTGGAAAGTGTGGAAATAAACCAATTTAGAAACTCTCAATATCTTATGTAAGAAAAGTTAAGTATAATTATGGTACTTTTGGAAATTTAATTTATTTATATAGTTAATGAATTCATACCTGACCTGTTCAGGTAGATTTATTCATTAGAAAGTAGGTATGCATGTAGGTGATATGTTAGATTATGAAATAGTTGTAATTTAGAAGTAACTTATCATTTTACGCTTGTGAAAGCTGTATAGCGAAACACGTGTCGCGGTTTTTGTAAAACCTTTTATATTGAAAATCATACAATAAACTGTATTATTGAGTTTTAACAAATACTATTTCTCATTCTTCACGAGAAGTGGATAGCAGTGTGACAATAACCGGCATTTACCTATCATTGCGAGACATATGCTCTATTATTAATAATTGCTTATCAATATGTTCCATAGTTATCTGTGCTACTATTAATTGTGTGTCCGGATACTGTTATTGACCAGATTGGTGAGTTCCTGTGAAAAAGACAGCCTTCCAAGTTGCATGTTAGCAGGACATGGAAATCAACTTTAATACAGTTCGCCCTGTACGAATTTCATGTTCGTTCAATATGCCAAAGCGTTAGAACCATAATGAAACTATTTTCAAATGTTTCCGACAATATTACTAAATGGAAGAATAAATATGTTTGTCTCATATCATTACATTACATTACATAACATACATAACATACACTCTGAAATGAGTGTAAATAAATTAAAGTGGTAGTAAACACGACAATGGTGAGCCGGAGTTGAAAGAACCAAAATAGACTTCATTCAAATCCCATGCAGAATCAATCAAATTGGGAATACAATATATGAATTAATGAAATCTGATAACTCGTTGCCTTGGACAGCATCATCACTGAAATGGAATGATAAAAAATAGCAGACGTTGTTGAGACAAGATATCGTACATAGGAGAACATAGCTCATATCATCAATTTATATTACTGGAGTTTTTTTCCAACACCAAACCGTTATTTCAATACCTCGACACGTGTTTCGATCACCACGTGATCATCTTCAAGAAAAAGATCAAACTCAAACTCAGCTTGTTCTTTCTCTTGAACATAATCACTTGGTGATCGAAACACGTGTCGATGTGTTAAAATAACGGTTTGGTGTTGGGAAAAAGCTCCAGTAATATTCATTACTATACCAAACAGTGCATCACAAGATCATCGATTCAAACAGAAAGGTTTTCTATTTATGAATATGATCTACCTTAGTCTTCCTTTTGGAAGGGTAGCTTAAACAAATTTGTCAAAATGATATAAGATGAAATTGATCTGCGCGCATAGAGACAACGCCATCGAAAGTGAAAGGAGGGTTCTACCAGTACACGAGTTTCATGGAGCCATAGGTAATTATTTCGGAGGTTATTAATAGAACACCCATTTATTGGTTGAAATGAGCGATTGACTATAAAAAGAGAAGAGTGCCTTTCCGAATAATGCTCTGATATCAAAACTATTGAAATAATAGCATGAAAACGCTACATAGTCGATAATATTAGTCCCCCTGTGGAAATGAAGTCTATGGAATCGACAGAAGACTCAATCTTCCACTATCAAAGACAGAACTAGGTGAGTGATTTGGCCTAACACCACTGGTGGTGTTAGGATCAAAACAGCATTGCCTGGTGTTGGATCATAGGCTCATCCTCCTTATTATTATCAACTTTCTCCCATTCAACATATTTGGGATATTTGGAAGTACTCCATGGTTGTCAGGACGATATTGGTAGTTGTGACGACTGTCAGAGAGATGTGCAAGGGAGCTTCAGAAAAAGTAATGCCTGAGATATGGTGAAATCTATTCAGGAAACGTGTCAGTTTCTGGAATAAACAACAACAAATGAATGAAATTATTTCCATCATGAGTATAATGAACTTAACGAAGAAAGTCATGTCGATAGAATGGAGCTGAATGAAGATTTCAATATAGAATCTACTGAAAATACTTTTCCCTCACCAGGGGTTGATTGTCACACGAAGCGTTTTGACGAAGGTAATGTGTTTTCAAAAGATTCATTTCTCACCAAAGGTTCCAAATTCCACATATCAAAATATAGAAATTGTCAATGATGAAACTGCAGCAACAATCCGATTGTGTTATGTCACAAAGAATATAAAAAATATAAATTTTACTGATCATAACTCACTTGTTTTCAATTGGGGTAAAATAATATTCTAGTGCCATCAAAAATGTACTGGGTATTTTACCTTCCTGAATTTTCCGTTTTACCTGATACCATTATAATGAGCCTTTTTCCTGAGAATAATATAGCGAACGTGCCACGAGAGGCAGCACTAGTAATAGGGAGAAACATAAACTATTCACATGTGTTTTTTCTGATATAACACTTGTAAAACAGTGTTTTTTACGTAATATTAATTTATTATTTAAAAATATAAATCTGATATAAAAAGTTATTTTGTGCTAGTATAATGCCAACAAAGCATTGCTGTTTTGCGAATTGTATGTCGGATAATCGATATCCGGAAAAAACGGGTTTTTTATACCATTTATAAAACATATCAATGAGGTTAGATGTAAGAAATGGATACATGCTTCGAGGAGAGTGGATTTAACAGTGCAAAAAATTAATAAATATTCATATGTATGCTCTCAACATGAAATCAATAGTAAATTTTTCATAGTTAATTACCATTGATCAGAATGAGATATAACCTCAATCGTTTATTATTTTTGATTAAATTTATTTCATTACCATCTATATATGATTCATATTCCACTGGGAAATAAATCTGAAATTCATAATTATTTTAAATTTCTTTTATTACAGTTTGAATCTACCGCTACTCTTTTAGTAGAGTCTGTATAGTAACATGTCTATTAATTTACTTTTTTTTTCCAGATACTTTCAAATTACGGTATGCAAATCAACGTTTCAATGTTACAACATTGTTATCCTTTAGAGTTGCAAATTTTAGTTTCGCTCCTGGAACATTTTCTTCTGTTAAAAACATTATTTTTTAATTGTATTTTACCATATGTTTATATGAGGATTAGGCAGTGTTTGTCCCTACCGAACTACTAGCCCTGCTAGTGAGGGATTTTTCGTACTTCAGGAAAAAGGTTCATTGAAGATTATCTTCATCGAAATAAAATGACTATTAGAGTAGTATGTTTGGTTTGCATACTAAAATAGCACAAAAAATCGGGTATATGACAAGTATATAATAATGTCTCTTATATACGATAAATGGGCGCCGATATTTTCATTGAAACAAAGAGGGGTCCACTCTGCTGTTCGAAAAGGGATAGATATAATGATCTTACTAACAAATGTCTTGTCCTTTGTCGAACACTTTCCATCGATGGAACAAAGAAGTATAATTAATATCTAGGTTTTGGCGTTAAGAGACATATCCTCAACGAATACGAGTATACTGTAGATGCTAGATCATCGAAACCGTTCAAAAATACTTTTTCTACTATTGCTACAGAAACACCAATGAACGCACGGGAAAGATGGACTAAAATTGACCAATTTCGCACACAAGTCCAAATCTGTGAATGATTGGCCTAATCGATATTTCATTCATACACCGATATATCCGCTGTAAATGAAGGCCAACAAAAGTTCGGTATACCTGGATCGAGGAGGCAATTTTTTATTCTGTAGCCTTGGTATTCTTTATTCGTTTTCCATTTTTATTTTCTGTCTATCGAGAACATTTTGAGTAAATTTTATTGTCGGAAGTTATTATTATTCTATAGGAAATGGAAACTAATGCAGTGATTTGGGTGTATTCCTCAAGAAATTAAAAACGAAACAAAAATTTGGCTCTTGATCTTCTACCAAAATTTGTTTCGGCAGTAGTGAGATTCAGTAGCATTGTACTTTTCTCTGAAAACGTTGTGTTGATATACCCACTAAGAGGAATTATCCGAAAAATAGACATCCCACTCTGGTCACAGTTTTGTCTAAACATTAAACACAATATTAATATTGGTCTAAATCAGAAAATTATACGCCAAAGAAATTGAAAAATCTATCCGAGGAAAATTTTCATTTCTGAAGTTTCCAAATAGTGGCTCTGAACGAATAAGACAGGCAATTCTATTAAAAAATAAAAACAATTGAAATTAAATAAAAGTCAACAATTATTTATTCATTTAAAAATATATATTCAGTTGATGTTTCATTTTTTGTAATTAGTCAGCACTGGTAAAAATGTAAGAATATAGAATATGTAAGAATATAGAATATAGAATTAGTAAAAGTATAGAATATATGGTACGCCGAAGTACTAAAATATTGCAGTAAATTGTAAGACTCGTATGAATAGCATTTTTCACACTCACGCTGTTTTCGAGTGTAATATGGAAAAATGAAGTTATCATTCCTTATTTCAAATTATCACACAGGTCTCGCTAGTTATTCGAAGCCTAATAGAGTTTTTGAAACTGACAGATAAGCAATTGGTATATGTATACTTACCTCCGGTCAGTGTAACAGTAGGAGTTCCCTTCTTGGCTGTTGCAACAATTTTTTGATCAAGCACAATTGTGTTATTGGTTGTGTAACTCCCCGAGTAAAAATGGTTGCTGAATTTGGGCGTTGATTCTTCCGCAGGAGTGAGATACACAACTATCGATGTGGAAGCTACGGCATCAGTCTCCGCCGATAAGGTGAGAATGGTGAAGGAAGAATCTGATGAAACTGGTGTAGCAGTCAGTTCCACGGTATTGTTTTTTGTATTAAACTTTGCTGCAAAATTTTCTTGATACGCTGAAATTGTGAATTCAGTGTGAGTTAGTTGAAGATATATCAACAATTGAAGTAAACGTTGTTATTAGGTACTAATAGTGGAACTGCATTGAAGAAATTGCTGATGATGTTATTAATGAGCAAGAAACGCTTTCTTGATTGCCGTTGGCATGAAGCTATTAATTTTGACTGTGTACATTAAGACAAGATAACAAAAATATTTTTTTCTACACTAGTCTTCAGAAGGAAAAGAACATTGAAAAAGAAAAGAACTGTTTTGTCATTAATTATCATGTATATAATATTTCATTACTTGAATCTCACTTCTGGAATATTTATAATTGGGAGAAGAAAGCACTTCAGGCACTATTTTTAGAAGCTTACATAAAATTTTTCTTGGCGATACTCTATCGGAAATCTCTTACATTATTACTCGTGTTACCCAAGGAGCCATAGTGTCTTCATTATTTTTTATTGTATGTCAACAAGCTTCATATATGGCTTTGCTTATGACACTTGTTTCGACAACTGCCAACAAGAATTTTTTTGTCATGATAAAGATAAAGTTTTGGAATGACAGTAGCCATAATTCAATACAAGGAAATATCAGGCGACAGTCAATGTTTATTTATTCATTTTATTTATAGACATAGACATAGATGTTGTATCGTAGCTTTTGGAATATATAACATAGATGTCAAAGGACAGTGAAAGTGGGTTTGTGAGTATGGTACGTCGATGTAAAAAGTTATATGTGACCTGGAAGTTATATGAGGAAGGTTAAAATTCAATGATGAAAGTAAAGTAGAAGAGTCGATTTGATTATGAATGATTTTGTACATAAAAATTAAGTCGTCAATTTGGCGGCGTCTTTTAAGTGATGTATAGTTGAACTCTTCGAAGAGTAAATCATAGCTATGCTCTCTTATGGGGTGTGTTAGAAGTGGTTTGATTGTGATTCAACTATGGTTGAAGATATATGTCAACTCAAATACTCTTATGAGAAATCTAGCGCTATAAACATCAATATCATCCAAAACTCGAGGTGAATCAGTTTATTGGCAAAACAAATTTCAAAATTCTCTCCAGTTTTCTATTAAAAACCCTTCACATTCCGATTTAAATCATGAAATTACTACTATTCTGAATGTTGGTTCGATTTCAACTTTGGGACGATGTGTATTCACTGCGTATCATCTGACTCGTGCCAAGAATCGCACGTTGAAAGGCAAACCCTCGTTAATCCTTACTTCACACAGGTTTCTAATTTCGAAGGTGTTCATATGTAAACGACAGCTATTTGAGGAAAACCACATTTTAACATATTATTTATTCAATTGAGTTGATCATGTCCACATCGAGACTGTCACAATCTGGAGTTCATCATCATCAGCAAGATCAAACGATTCTTTTGATAAAAACATATTGAGAGTATATCTAGTAGGTACTAAAAGTTATGAATGATACTGACAAAATTACTATGAAATAGTCGATTCAAATTTCAAATTCGAAAGCAATATGAATGTTTTTTGGTGTGAATTTTCATTATCCTGAATATACGGTTTTTTCCTCTGAACACAGAACATTTTATGGTATGGTATGGTATGACTGTCTCAAGCAAAGTTATCGATATATTGTATATATTTTGTAAATATTTTTAGTGTTTTCTTACGAGTAAGTATTTCATTGTCATTTATTGAACAGTTTGAAGTTCAAGATCTAATTAAGAGACTTTCGCAGACCAATTTCAATAGTGTTTTTGAAGTCAACTCACCTCCTGTTAAACTCAGGTGAATAACTTCGCTTGGCTTATTGGTGGTTAATTTTATAGGTCCATTTCTGGGAGTGAGTGTCACTATTTTATTCTTCACAGAATAGTCGAACGAATATGAAGGATTTTGAAATGATGGCGTGTCCAAACTCTTTGAAGGATCTACTTGAACAGTTACTTCTGTAGATGTGCTCAGAGTTTTTTCATTTCCTTTATCCTGAAAAATAGTATTGCTAATAATAATTAATTACTACGTATAATTCAATGACACTCACTGTTGCCACGATTTTGTAGGTCAAGGGATTGGTTATTTGAATAATTTTTTTCGCACTAAAACTTGCAGTGTACTGTTTTTCGTCGACTACCGTGGTCACGATGAAATCATCCGGATCTACAGTAAACGTCATCCCTTGATTGGAGAAATCAATATCTTCCGCTATTAACTTCTCACCGAAATCGGTGAAATCACCAAACGGCATTATGGGAGAAGCAACTCTGTAGATGTATTCTTTTTTCAAAAATTGAGGAGCATGATTGTTGGTATCGAATACGATGAACTGAATTCCCTGAAAATCATTAAGATTAAGAATTATTTATAGATGAAAAATATCAGAATGGAATAAGAGTAAAATAAAATCTTTATCAGTCAATAATACTCTTTGATTATGTACAATGTGTCTAAGATACTAGATGGGCTGGAAAGTTCCTCAGGTTAACACACAGGTGGCGCTATTAGTATTAATTTCATATGATGTTCAGTTAACCTCAACCTTCAAAGACATGTCTACAAATTTCATAACCGTCGGACGATTAGTTTGTGGGTTAAAACATATTGACTGAAGCAACTCTTGTTAGTTTGAAGAAAATGGATAAAATGGAATCTCGTGTGTTAATGAAAAAATAGAGTTGGAACCAGATTTGGCTTGATGAACATTGAGAAGAGGTTTGCTAAGTTTAAACGAGGTGAAATGAACACCAATGAAGCCGAAAACATAAAAAAAGTCCACAAAATAGTTTGGAATGACCACAAAGTGAAGTTGATTGAGATGGCTGAGACTCCAATGGTACCAAAGGAAATTGTTGGACATATCGTACATGAATATTTGGGTATGTGTAAATTCTGTTTGAATTGGGTGCCACGGGAGCTCATAATCGACCAAAACAAGAAAGAATTGATGATTCTGAGTAGTGTTTGAAGGTGTTGTGCCATGAAAAACCCGAATGTATATGTCGATATGTAACAATGGATGAAAAATAGCTCCATAGCAGATCGAGTTCTTCATAATCAAAGGACTGACTCGAAAGATTCTCTAAAATGTTGATAATTTTCTTTGGTTGATTATTCGTTTTCTCGAACCCAAGTATTTTAATGATAATAATGATAATAATAAATGTCTTTATTTTTAAGCATAATGAACTTAAATGAAACGCTCGCCTAAATTTCATTCTCACTAGTTATGGCCACATTTCTCGCTTGTCGAATAATGTACTATTAGAAAAAGTGTCAGTTATGTTGCTTGTTGGGTAACTGGGCAATGATCCAGAACTCACACTTTCGAATGAATCACGGGTTACCATATCAATATCTCGCTACCTTCGATGCCAATCACAAATTAGCAAATTCATAACTTCACAGTGTCTTTCAATTATTTTCAATCGCAAGTAAGCCTTAACAGTTTCACACTTTGAAATATGTTCTCGATCATGAAACTAAATCGTTGAACTGACATTTCTGTTTTTGAGTAAAACCAGGAATAGAAACATAGACATAGAGAAAGTGAGAACGAGTATTCCCCACTAGAAATTTGTAATGTGGCAAAAAATTTATATATTTTTTCAAAATTCGTCACTACTTCAGTATTTTCAAACCATTCAATACAAAACTATTTGAAATTGAATAAAATAATGAAAAAAAATTTGGTTGCTTTTTGTTATGAAATTTAATGTTTATCTCTCAAGACAACATTATCGAATAAAATTTCTGGTGAAAATTGTAATCTCAATTGTGATCTCGTCAAAAATTGTTGTTGACCGTTACTCACCACTTTGATGGAATTACCGTTACATGTCATGTTGCAATCAACTGTAAACGACACCATACTTTCTTTCTGTTTCTTAGTGTTAATGTCGACATCGGCCAGTTTGGCAGTAGATTGGATGAGGAAGTCTGTGTCATATGCGGTAACATTAAAATATTCTAAAACTTTTGGATCTCCATCGCATTTCAAATTGGCTGAAAAAAAAAGAAATTTGATTAATATTAATTTGGTGAAAGGTGTTTGAAACATTCGTCTATCAATCTCCAGGCAAATAAGATGCGTGGTCTAATAATAATATCAGAAAGTTATATTATCAAGTATCTATTTTCGAGATTTTCAGTTACTGAGAAATATTAGAATTATGTATTTATCTCTTCTATGACATCAGGTTATGTTTATGATATGTTCTTTGAATTGCAGAAAAGGCAGAGTAAGTCTATTCCTTACCAGTTGTCTACTTTTCTATACAGCGTGACTCACGGTCGATGGTAGGTTAGACGTTTCTGGAAAACGCAAAGCATGATTTTTCTGAAAATTTCACCTCTCACATTTCCTTACCTGTTCTATCGATCTAAAATATTTTCAGCATTGCGCCGTTGCCACTTCTATCAAAAAGTCCTAGCAATTATATTTTTTTAAATGGAACACCCCGTATATTAATACATTTTTGGAATCGCT